AACTATTTTCAACGTTTCTGGAACGTTTACAATCGTTCTATAATCGAACCAATATTCGAATTTTATGTTCGAATTTAATTCGAACAAATTCGAACATCGTTCGAATTTAATTCGAACAAATTTGAACAAAACATTCGAAATAGAAAGCCACTTTCAACCACTTTCAGCCCCGTATCTCCCGCACCCTTATGGCTATCGAGATGCAACTTTCTGGTGCGCAAATGGAGACTTGGGGCTATTACCACATACAAACACCATTCACGTGCGATGTGTAGTTTTGGCGGAAAAGTGAAATATAGGGACATACATGTCCATTTTTATATATATATATGTATAGATGAAGGAGAAAAACAAAAATTTGTGTGAAATCACAAATATTTGTTTTATTTGGGTCTTTAATTAATAAAAATAACGAAACACAATTTTAAAGTGCATTTTTATTCAACAAATATATTTATAAATAATATGTAGCCCAAAATATAGCCCAAAATGTAGCCAATGCGCCAAATGATATTTTTTACATCAAACTAAAAAAGGGTAGCCAAATTTGGCAACTCTGAAAGGAATATTAAATAATGCTGGAGTTGGTATTCAAAAGATTATAGACCTAAATTCGGAGAAAGGACAGGAAGGTCAAAAAAGTGAAAAGGTTAAATAGACCTTCTGTTATGCAAATATTGATCCTTAATTTTCCAACCTTTCTCAATTCTTTTTGTTTTTTTGTCTTTCTCTTCTTTTTCCTAATTTGGGGCTATAAGGCTGTGTACACATTAGGCGTTTTAAAGAACCAAGAGTTCTACATAGGCGTACATACTCAAATGCGTGCTTCTGGCCAAGCGCGCATCAAACACATGTTGATAGATTTTTGTTAGAACGCGTGTTTTGCGGGTGTCAGCTGTGCACTTTANTCAATATTTGCATAACAAAAGGTATATTTAACCTTTCTCATTTAATAAGAAAGAGCTTTATTCGTATATTTAACCTTTCTCATTATATTTTTTTCTTTTGGCCTTTCTCTCCTTTCCCCGAATTTGAGTCTATACTCCTTTGAGTCACAACTTCAGCTATATTTAATATACCTTCCTCATTCACACATTTCCATTAAAACCGGTCTATCATTTCATGAACTAAATTCTAAATTAACACATTTTTTTCACGCTATCAGAGTATTTCCTGAATTAAAACCTTTTTTACATCTAATGGGGAGAGTTTGTAATTCATCTGCTACTTATGACATCATGGAAAGGAAACATTTTCAAAAACTTTTTAAGTTTTTGAAAATGTTTCCTTTCCACTCAAAATTAAAATATGTATAAAGGTTTACTGCTTTGTAAAACGTCTTTTTTGAATGCTGTTGAAATAAATAAATAAATAAAATAAATAAATCTGTCGGTTTTGTTTACATGTTTATTGAGCCGCATTGGAACTTGCCTTGGGCTGCATGCGGCCCGCAGGTTGGACACCCCTGCTTTAAAACATACTTTAAGTTAACATTTTTCTTTGATCTTAGTTTTAATGTTTTTGAGATAGTTTATGCCATTGAAATAAATAAATAAATAATAAAAAAATTTGTTTGTTTTGTTTACATGTTTATTGAGCCACATTAGAACTTGCCTTGGGCTGCATGCGGGCTGCGGGTTGGACACCCCTGATCTACAGTGTTATAGTGGGTCTACTGTACAATCTTTTCAAAAGTCAAACTTAGGTTATATTTTTAACTACAAATTACCATTTTTAATATTTAAAATTTTCAATTCTCCTATTATGTAAAATTTAGACAGACTTTGTCTAGATCAGCAATAGTGAACCTGTGACCTGTGTGATTTCAAGATGTTCAGAAAATATTAGGTTTTTATAAATTTGTTTTAAAATTGTAAAATATTTTTTTTATATGTAGTTTGAGAGTAAGGTCATAAAGCTGTCATGAAAAGTATTAAATGCTATTAATTATGAATGTTAGGTAGAAAAATGATCTAACTAGCTGTTACCCATGACTTTGCCTGCACGGATTTTACAAGCAAACATCATGTATATTCATATTCGAGAATTGCCGCGAATCAAACGAACTGTTTTCAATTTGATCAATTTTCTGGAACGTTTACAATTGTTCTATAATCGAATCAATATGCAATAACAAATTTGAATTTAAAACGGTTTGAACATTTGGTTAAAAAATCAAAATATATAAAAATATTTATAACAATGTCTGATTGTTTTCAATTTAATACACCTAAATACTCAATGAATACTAAAATAGTTGAAAACAAAAAATTGCATCTAAAATAGTACAGTAGAAGCTGTTCTTCAGGTTAAGCCTTAATCCTCTCCCTCTCAATCCCTTCTTAGTGTGCTTTTTCATGACATACCCTAACTGTGTACCAAATTTCACCCCTTTAGGTTCAGCGGTTTGCTCTGGGCAATGATGAATCAATCACTGTCAGTTGGTCAGTCAGGACCAACTGACAGTGATTGATTCATCATTGCCCAGAGTAATTTTATATATTTAGATAAACAGCAGCAGATTTCTCATTAAAAGAAATATTTGGTTGTTATTATTTTCTTTCTACTTATACAGAATCTATTGTAAAAATATTTCACGTGCAATTTGGAGTTACTAAAATTCAAATTCAATCCAACTGTGATTGTCTAGCCAGGGATACGGAGTAGGTAAGACTCTAGTATCACTTATTCAGCAGCTATTCCTTGAGAATAGCCCTCAGTTGTCAAAAAGAATGGCTTTTCTATCTAAAGAAATCGAGTGTGGAGGGACTTACAGTTTGAATGTTAAACAAAAGCGGAATTAGATGATTGTGTAATCACCCTTTTCTTATCAGGATTCCTGTCACCACTTAATTATTTTACATGCGGATTAACACGCGTTATCCCTAACTTGTAAGTAGGAGGAGCGTAGGAAATTTAAATACAAATGAGTATGAATAACCAATATTAACCAAACCATTTTTATAATGATAAACAAAATATTTAATAAATCAAAAGATAAAACTATACAAAAGAATGAACCTAAACTACTTTACTAACTTAACCTAATCTTATTCTAAACCTGATGCGTGAGAAAGAGTTCACATCAATCTATTTCTGATTATATTACCTTCACTGGGTCTTTCAAATATTTCTCTGAATGACGATCTTCTTCAATTCTGGATATTCTTCTTCCAACAGTTTCTATGGAAAGTTCATGAAATAACTTCTTTTAACAATCTTGATGTATACTTCGTTTATATTGCTATATATTTATAACTTCCATTTAACTGATTTGTATGATGCACACTTTGTATGATGACTGCCTTTATCTTATGGCGAGCTCTTTTTCGTGTGGCAACCTCTTTTCGACGGACTGTCCCGAATGGCAGGAAAACGCCCCTTTTATTTGCTCTCTAGTAACTTGTGCAAAACTCATTCAACTCATCATGAGTCGGCCCGGGAAAGGAAATCAACTTCCTTTCAAAATCGAAAGTTTCATTCATTTTTTTATAAATTTGTTAAAGTTTAAAAATATTATTTTCTTTTAATTTTATAATTCTTTTTCTCTACTTTGTTAATTTTCAAAATGACCCTCTCCTGAATTTCCAGATTCTCACATAACCTTCAGGAAAAGGTTTGCTATTGCTGGTTTAGATTATTAATTAAAGATTATATTTTGTAATATTCAAGTAATTTTGTGTTAGAATGAGAAATATTCTTGTGCATTTGTGATTAGTTAATATTAATAATTATATATATTTAATCAGTGTTTCATAAGTTTTCTTGTAAACCTAAAATTTTATCCAGTAATACAAACAATATTTGGGAGTTAATTAAGAAGAAAAATTTCTAGTTTTAAACACTTAGATATGCATATTATTTATTATAATAATAATAATAATTTGTTTTTATTCTAATTACCCTGAGGTAATAAAATTACATTACCCTGAGGTAATAAAATACATTAGTTTTAATAATAATCATTGAAATTTTTTATAGTTTTTACAAATACAGAATTTAAATCAAAAAATTGAAGACAGTGAATTTAAACATTTTGACATTTAAATATTACAAACATTTTTCTAAAATGATTAAATTTTTCACGATAAGTGTGAAAAATAATGCATTTTATAATTTTGTAAATGTTTAAAATTTCATTTTCATGTCACCATACCCACACAACATTACTGTACTTCCTTTACATAAATAAAAACTTTATAATAATATAATAAAATTAACAGAACAAAATTTATCTAGAGACATTTGTTTATAATAATAGTTATTTTGCTAGTTATCATTACTGCAATACTTGAATTTATGTTGAAAGTTTTTGTTACTTACATTAAAATAGTCTGTTTGAATGAAAAATTTATAAAAAGTGTTCACAATGTGCAGCTTTCCTCACTTAACTGGATTTTACATCTTTCTTAAAAGTAACAAAAGTACCAATTTTTCTTGATGTTGCTTTTGTTAGCATGTTTTATGGCAAAAGCTCTAATGGCTTAATGAAAGGCTGTCTTGAGATAGCATATTTTGACAAATAGTAAACACTAACAGAGGAATTAATTGTTTATTTGTAACGTAAGAGACTTTGTCTTCTTGTGAAAGATTATTGATTGACAATTTTAAGTAGCTCATTAAAGAATTGCAATGTTTCCTCTTCTGTTGACAATCTTGAAAAGTTAATTATTTATTCTTTCATATTATATGTAAATCAGATTTTGCATATAAATATCTTGTCTCTTACAGCAAATTTAAGATTAAATGCTCACTGATAATTTTCTGATAACTGTCTGACACCAATCTTTTTGCTGTACTTAATTTTATTGAGAATTAACATATTACAAAACAGTGAATTAATTTGATTATTCAGTTGGGGTGATTCCTATTTTTGTCTGTTAGATGGCATTACTACTTTACTGAAATCATTGTCACTGTGTGTGTTTGTGATTCCCAGCTTTCGTACAACTAAGCTCTTCTAAGTGAGAACTGCTTATCATTGCGAATACTTGTACAATAAAAACATTTTGGATATAAACATTGATTCAAGGCTAGAACTTGACATATAAATAAATTGCATTCAGAAAAATTGCTATTCTATTTACTAGTAAACTAAAAAAAACTTGATCTTTAAATCAGTTTCCATATTGTGACATCCTTCTGTCATATATGATGCTTATTTTAATGAAATATGCTGAATTCAGCAAATTACCAGATGTATTGTCATAACACATTAAATTTTTTTCATAAAAAATACATTTTTTGGTACATTTCTCTGAAATCTAAGACATTTTTTCTGCTGTAAATTTTTCAGATAGATCTTTAATGACAGTTTCTTTAGAAATGGTTATTTTAAAGATATAAATTTTATTTTCATATAAACTTATAACATATTTAAACAGTTATTTGTCTATGTAACACCAACAACTACATTATTTAGCAATGAAATTTATGAGCTACTATCAAGTTTTCTGGTCATAAGATTAACAGTAAATTTTTGAAATTAATAAATATAGATTTTTAATATGTATATATCTGTTCATTTAATTTTTAAAAGAATAAACATATGTATTTATTGATTATAATATTGATAAAGGATACTATTATGTATATACTTTTTTAAATTTGTACAGTACGCTGTCCTAGGATTGCTTGGTCTTTTTGTACTCATACATCGAGAATGATGACCAAGAATTGTTTGGGAATGATTTCTCAAGATTTTAAGGCATTCACAAAAATGATCGAACATTTTATTTAACAATATTACAGCATTGTCTTCCTAAGTTGGCTACATATTACTTTTAATTAAAAGTATCATTGGAGAAAATTATTTGTCATTTTATTAAGAGAGATGTTTATGTACTGTTATATTTTATTATTATATTTTCATTGTCTGAAAATAATTTTGTAAAAGAAAAAAAATTGAAATACTTTCTTATTAAAGTGATTGCCTTGTTTTTTTTAAAGTCATTTATTGAAATCATTTTGCAAACGGTGGTGATCCAGCAAGAAAGGGGAGGTTATCTGTTGTCTATAAGGTCTTATGATATTGTAACAAAACACACAGTGCCTGCCATGTTTCTCATGCATAAATTTACTATGTCATTTGTCAATCCAACAGTGTTTTGATGTTCATCTTATTCGATACGAAATGGAGATGGGGAATTTTTCCATCGTATACAGTATTTATTGGGTAGATGAATTTATAGATTTTTCATCATATTGATATTGTATCATTCCAAAATTACAAAGTCTTTATATACCAATAAACATTAATTTTAAGAAGTGTGTTTTAGTACGTATTATTGACAGTTTAGGTAAGAGTTTACTGTCGTCTTTTGAATATTTAATTATTGTAATTGTGATAACTTTAGATTTCCATTAAATCTTACTTTCACACTTTATTATTCTATTTGAAATTTTTATTATTATTATTATTATTATTATTCACAGTAAAAAGTTAATGTTTTATAAGTGAATTATACCGAATCAGGATTCATATGGTGCTTTTGTAATTAATTTGAATAAAATAATTTTATGTTGACAGTTGTTTTCTAAAATCTTTATATTTTTAATTATTTTTAAAGATCATCTTAAAAAAATTTTTCTTCCAAGATCTATAACACACAATTTGTTTATTTTGTATCGCGCTACAAATGATACACGCATTACCGCCATTTATAAAATTTATCGTTTCAGGCGAAAGAATAAATAAATAACATCTTTTAATTTGATAGGAATTGTGCCTTAATTATCATCAGCGTGTTAAATTATTTTAGTAACGGAAGAAAATAAAAATATATTAAAGGGGCTTTATTATTTGTAAGTAAACAAGATTTGACATTATTATATCATTTGTTTATAGTGGTTGCAACTTGGTGACAAAGTAAAAACTAATTTTTTTAAAATACTTTTGTCGAATTGTAGGAAATATTAATGTGCCGATAGCGAATGATAAGAAAATGTTCATACCACATTATCTATTCCGCAGCGATCGACGGATATACCCGTCAAGGGCGATGGCGTGGCACCGGAGAACGACGTCGCTATCCCGATATCCGCAAAAAAATTCACATAAAAAGGAATTACGCGACGATAAAGAAAGATTTTTTTCTTTACTAGATGTAACTGTTTAAAATTTTTTTCGAAACGGAAACAAGAAAAACGCGTGGAAAAATTCTTAAAAAATTCCCATTTATTCTCCACTACATGGCGACAGCGCCATATCCGACTAACCCTCTTTACAAGGTTAAGAAATTACCCAGAAGGTTTTTCCTCCCGCAAAAATTTTGAAAAGTAATATAATTTTAATTATTTTCAAAGAATTAAATTGTGTGAATAATTCATTCGTTATATATTACATAATTAGCGTAAGTTCAAAATTTGACGGAATTTTTAACAATGATTTCTCCACGGAAAATATGCGTATCGATTAGGGTTTCTCATTTCCCGGTCTTTTGCTTGTCCCGGGATCCCGGGATAAAAGTGAACTGTTTCCCGGGATCCCGGGATAGAATTAATTATTTTTAAGGTATACAAAATATCTTGAAATCAAATGATATAATTATTTTCCATTTTTTAAAGTAATTTTAAAGTTCTGTAACCTCCAAAATCATATTAATAATGCTGTGTAAGGTCTATAGGCCTATAATAAAAATTACCTTTAAATAACGTAGAAATTTTCACAAATAGAAAAAAATTAATTAAAGTTTGCTGGAAACTGCATACAACAACAACAAAAAAAATGTTTTGAATTGAGTTAAAAATTAAAAAAAATGAACTTCTAATTTAGAAGGTAATTTTCGTTTTTTAAATAAAATATAATACAAAATATTGCAAACTTTTATAAGATTTTAAAAAGCAAAGATGGTCAATACTCCGATAACTCACTCTAATTCTTATTTTAGTAATGAAAAGTCTTGCCACCGAGAATGCCCTTTCCGATTCAATTGATGTGATTGGAATAGTGTTTAATGCATTTAAGAGAAGACAGATATTATGTGTTTTTTCACCTGTAGCCTGGAAGCTTTCGAGTTCGTTTTCGAGATTGTAGTACTTCTTTCGCTCTCTAGTATTCTTGATTTGTCTACCTTGGCTGCTTTAATAGCGGCATCAAGCTTAGAGCTCGATAATTCGGCAATTCATTTGGCTTTAATAATCAGGTTTATGAAGAAAAACTTCATACTTGCAGACTTTGTACTCGTTTGTATCCTTGCCCAATTTGCACAATCTGGCGTCAGGCATTTATTGAAGCTACTGGGCATGGTTAAAACTCAAGACAGCGTAAGCACAATTATTCCAGATATTACAGGTTCCGACAAGTAAAGAATTTTTATAGTCCTGCCACAAATAAGCTATATATTGATTATTGACCATTTGTGACATGCTATAATGAGCAAAAACTTAAGAAACTAATAAGTAGGTTTAAAATTGATAAATACAAATGTATTCTGACAGTTTATGAGTTAATTATGCTTTCTATTTGCAAAATTCCTCAACCTTAACACAAAATAAGAAAAAAAGTGAATTTTTAAGAAATTTGCGGGATTTCCCGGGATAAGAAAAATTTCCCGGGTTAAAAAAACAACCGGGATCCCGTTTGAGAAACCCTAGTATCGATCACAGTATTTATACCGCTATTATAACTCGCGATTTTTCTAATTTTTAATATTTTTATTAACGGAACCAATACAAATCCATAAAGCTAGAAATGTTAACGTATCGAGTCGTTACTGTAAACAATATAAATTTATTTCTGTAAATTTGTGTAATTATCAGATATCTTTAGTTTTTGAACACTTTCCAAGCTATCGGATTAAAAGTACTCTGTAAAAAATTCTGTCATCAAACTGCCATTATTGGATAAAATTTATTGCGCATTAGATAAATTAACTTAGAATTTTCCTATTAAATGTTTAATAGACAAACTGGAAGCCCGATTTACGAAATGGATCGACTTATAGCTAGAGAATTGGAGTGTGGGGGTATCGCTTCCGACGTGGAAAATATCGTATTTCGCCGCGTAGCATTTACGTACGCGAGTATATTTTGTCAATAAAATCTCGCGTTTCTTTCGCAACGGCAGTTCGAATTCCTTTCCCAAAATTCTTCCGCCAAGTTTCTATTCAAAATAATATAGAATTTTTGACCAAGTTATAGTTTAGAGAATTATCGAAAAATAAAATAAAATGCAATATCGCGTCTACGCAGATTTTAACATTCGATTTGTTGGCCGTCGTACTGAAAATTTTTATTTAATCTAAACACGCGTATATTTTATTAAAATCATATTACAAAATGCCGGTATCAAAGAATAAAAATATTTTTATGCCGTTGTATTACGTAGATGTTACAACTTAACGAAATAAACAGTAATAACAGTTAGTTAATACATAATACAATGATTTTTGTTTAAATCAGTGACTCTCGTATTTTTTTTTTTTTTTTTTGAGACTATATTTTACAGCGGAACGAATGGAAAAATACACAAAATTACAAAGGGCGTTATTTCCAATTCTTCGGATTAGAATAATAAATATAAATTAAAGATTTTAAATTGTACGGTTACGTATTCCATCTATAATCGTCTGTCCATTCCGAACAATTTCTATCGCATCGTTTGAATATTCATTTAATTTCTAATCAAATAACATTCTCGTAATCCGGCAGTTCGTTCGGCGTATCTATTGTTATATAAACGATTAAAGTGTTTATTAAATATTACTATTACGAAGAAAATAAACTCTTCGGTCTAATTTACGTAATACGAGTTTTAAGAACGATCGCCGCTGTCATCTAATCGCTTCTTTCTTTTCTCGTAATTGCTTATATTTCTCTGCAAAAAATAATATAAAATTGTTTAAATTACAGAATTATAATTAATCGACGATTTTATTTATTTTATACATAATTAGTAAGTATCGGCCGACGAGAGACATCCACCCAATTAACAAAAGCCCCGACAACGGTTAAAACCAAAAAATAAAGTATAAAAAACACAATTTTTGAAATTAGGCGGTATATTTAATGCGCGAAAAAGTTTAAAATTTATAAATAAAATATAACGAAGACGACAAATTTTGTGGAAAACATCGACGCAATCCTAAATATTAACCGGCAATTATTTATCGCGACGTTAAAAATTGCGGCTCGGCACGGAGACGCGACGAGCTTCGTACGCGTCCGACGTGCCGCTCCGCGACGAAAACGAGCTTAAGCAACGGCGTCTTCCGACGGGATACACTCGGTAAGTATTCCGACAATTTTTTGTTTATAACATATTTTATACGGGTTATTCCCAAAAAATTATACGCGTTTCGGAAATATTCGAGTCAAATTAGTCTAGAATCGATTAATTTTACGGAAGAAAACCATTGGAACAGTCGTTGCCCCTAAACTGCCCGAGTGCCGATCCGGAAGCGGCGGATGGCCGGAGATTTCTCTCGGACGGACACCGGGCTTTAGACCGATCACTTTTCGCCTTTTAATTTTACTTTCGTCTAATTGGACTAAGATACTATCGATAATGGAATACGTCTTGGCGCGTGGTTATTAAGATCATCGATTAGCGTAGGTCGATGTTTACCTTGATTTACTCGGAGACGTGGAAAAATAAACGCATCGTAGATGGGCTTGCTGAATAAAATACTTATCGCGATCGTCGTCAACGTGTAAGCGTACACTCTCGGATGACGAAACTTAAACGGAAGCTTCTTCACGTACGGAACACGCCGCTGTTCCGCCATCTTCCGTCTTGTCTAGGTGTTGCCAGTAACCAAAAATAAATACGTTTCGTCGCCGCTTCAAAAATTTAAATTATTCACCTTTTGCTCAAATTTAATAAGATCAAATTTTTTTTATTTTGCAAAATTTCATACAATTTAATTCCACGATTGCGAACAGTTCGTTCGCAGTCGTGGAATTAAATTGTATGAAATTTTGTTCGTGTCTACCGAACCGGAAGACACGAACAAATTGTATGAAATTAATTTTCGTGTCTACCGAACTGGTAGACGCGAAAATTATTGAATTATAAATCTAAAGAATTTTTAAATAATAATAATAATAATAATACTTAATTCTCGGGACCGCGCGGCTAAGTCGTCAGCTTTCGTCGAAACCGGAAATCCGGACGGGTCGAAAAACTCCAGAAATTTTTCGCCATGGTCCGTCGGGATACGTCGCCCGTCCCTCGCCCTCCGGCAGCCCATTGTCGGCTGGCTAAAAGAAAGCCCTCTCGGTGATCTCGAGAGGAAAGAGTTTTTTAAAAAAATCCGCCGCCGGTCGGGCGACTAAACCGTCGGATAGAAAATGCTCGCGCAACTGTTTTAAGTTATTCCTCCAGTGTTAGGGGTCCGTCTATCGTAAACGTAATTAAATGGAAGTAGAGTGCAAAAGTACATCGCTACGCGGCGGGAAGAGAGATCGTAAACTGTTCGCGTAATTAATGGATGGATCCGTATTGGCTCTTTTAACGCATTGTAAATAATTAATGTTTCGCGCGACCTAACCTGGCTATTCTTATAGTTAAAGGACACGACCGTTAAAGGATCCGTCTACCGTTCCGATGATCTGGTATCAAATCCGAGCGGTTGAAAAACCCCGGGAATGTTTCGCGGGTGATGTATCCGATGTTTGTCGGACCTTCTGTAATTAAGAAAATGATGATTAGGTTAACATCTTTAAACAACAATCATCGGGAGTGGCTTCGGCTTCTTTCATTCGAATTAAGTTCATTTACGAATCATCCTTCCGTCACATCCGTGATATAAATTCGAATCCGAGGTAAACTGTCACATCCGGGGTATTCCTCAAATGCGAGTATTATTATCCAGTCCGAGATTTACGTCACAGATCGGTTATATAACCTCCCTTTCACGACTAACGACCGAGATCCGTCCCATAGTTTTATAGGTTTCATTTCATTCTCTCAAATAAAGCGGAAAATTGTTTCTGAAATTCCAGGGCTGTGGAGTCGCGTAAAAATCTACCGACTCCGACTTTTCCTTACCATTCAACTCCGACTCCGACTCCGTTTCATATACAGTACATAACAAGTTGGTAAGTAAACGGGAGTCGGAGTCGGTGGATTTTTTGACGACTCCGACTCCGACTCCACAGCCCTGTGAAATTCCTTAAATTCCCATACTAGCAGCCCGCATACCAGGTCTGTAAAATTAAATTTAAGTTTAAATATTTCGTCAATGAATGAAGCGAATTAAGCGAATGAGGAATCTGTCAAAGTGGCACTTACTCCAAAGGCCGTTGGTAAGAGAAACGAGTTTTTTATTTCTAGACCCTGCCGAAGCAACAGCGAGAGAAGTTCCGGTTTATCTCGAACTTCTTCTTACTTTGCGAAGGACCTCCGAACATTGCGCGCTGGAAATTTGCTTCGATCTCCAACATCTTTTCGATCTTAACGAAAGCCTTTTTCAATCCTGCTATCTTTTTAAATCCCAATATATCTCGGGGTTGTCCCTCTCTATAAGTTCGGGACGATGCTTCGAGATCCCCGAAGGAATCCCACCGACGTCTGGATCCTTCGGACTTTCCGACAATCGTGCCGGATGCCCGCATTCTGTGGAGGATCATTTCTCTCTTCCGCTCTCCGCTCACACCTCTCTCGAATTGGAGGTCTTCGTAGGAAGATCCTACCAATCCATCTCCTAAAACATTTCGTCTTTCGACTCATCTTTCTCTAAAATCGCGCGAAAACGCGGCAACAAAACAAATCGCTTCGATATGACAATCGAAAAACAAAGATATTGTTGTCGCGCGTCAATTGTCTGCGGAAACTTTGTTAATTTTTAAAAATATAAGATTTCGAGAAAGTTCAACAAAATATTTTTTAAATTTGAATTTATTCTGTATTATGATCGCTTGATGAAAATAAACGTTTATAAAGACGTTTGTATGATAACGATATAGCAGTCTCCTACGTAGCCCCATTCTAGTAAAACGATAACCAATACTCTGGACGGATTTTCTCCACCGCGTGTGAATTCGTAAACGTTTCATTTTGTATTTCAAACCGCTGTCTTATTACTAAATCGGGTAATTTTTAAATCTTCAAACTTCTCGCCATACTGGATACATGGCGAATAATCAACCAATACCGACGTCGTCCGCTGGATAACCACCCGGAATATCACTCTCGCGATGGCTTTTTATAACTCTATGGCACGCGAGAAAATTTCCGTCTTCGTCGCGACGTCGGGCTTGCCGAGTTGTACACATTTGAAAAAATCGTTTTTAGTGATCGGGAGGTTACTTTAAATTTAGAAAAAATCTTGGAGAGTCAAAAAATGACCCCCCAAGATTACACATTTTTGGGGATTCAAAAGACATTGCAGAAATGCAAAAAAAAAAAAAAAATCTGTGGTTTTCCTGTGTGTGTGAATATTAATCTGTAGGGAGCACGATTTTGTTCACCCTCTTTAAAACTTAATAACTCCCGTTGTTTTTGTCGAGAATTTCTGAAATTTTGCAGGGAGGTTTGTGCATTAGGGACGTTTGTGCTATTAAATTTTATTGGTTACAGCAATGTTTCTCAACCTCTAACGAATCGTCGACCCCTTCAACGTAGTATCGCTCCCTTCAGTAAAACCGTTACGTAGTATCGCCCCTTCGCTACAAAATTCCGATGCCCAGGGCCAAGACTAACGCCAAATTCGTACCGCATCGAACATACTAGTGACTAGTATAATGTTATTTGTTTAATTATTGTACGATATAACGAATAAAATATCTAATTATTCTTAACATAATGTTTTACTATATCGCCCAGAAAATTGTTTTTGCCCCTCAAAATATAAATTGTTACTAATCGCCTCCTCACCGTGGAACACGGGGGCGATATCGCCCCCGTTGAGAAACACTGGGTTACGGGTCTTAATGAAGATTTTACTCATTTAAAATTTTTTATAAAACTCATCCGTACGCTCAAAATTAAGCTGTTTGCCACTTTATAATAATTAAAACTTGTACACATTTACAGGGGATTCCAGCAATAGCTACATAAACGAGGTGGGTACAAAGTGAGTTTTTACTGTGTTTTAAAATTTGAAATAAATTTAGCGCATAGGATTATGAATTGACCAGGCAAATGCGATGTTTAGGTAGTATTTATACTTAATAAATACGCGATAATTATGATACTTTAATGACGATAACCTATACGCAGCGGCGGCCTTATCCATTGCGAGGCTCTGGGCGGCAGATCTTTGCCAGGCCCTTGTCCTTTGTGCAAAGTATGTGAATTGAAATAGTAGGCACTTATTAATATTAATATATACTGTATTATAAATTANAAGGTAACATTCCAATAGACAATATGCAAAGCTTTTTTTTCAGTTTACAGCAGTATTTATTACACAAAATTTAAGTAAAGCTTAACATGCCGATCTTGCTCCGGTCTCCCCTAATATAATAGAAGGGTTAGAAGAACGAAATAACCTTAATCTTTGTTGTTATTTTTTGCTAGTATTCGACATATTAAATCTGCTAGTATTTAATACGTTGTAAATAGCCAAGGGTAGAGTCCGGACTGAACAAATATCTTTGGCTACGCTGCTGTATATAATTTACACATACATCCGGAAATAACGATATTTTCTTTATTATTAATAAACAATTAATTAATTCAATGTAAGTAAAACAATAAGTGCTGTAGTAAAGTTAAATTTATTGTCAAATTTCGATTACAAATGATACAATTCGTAGGCTATCGAATTTGGCCCCTTTCATCAGCTCATATATCATTATACTAGAATTTGCACAAAGGATATTATTTTTTATCGATTCTTAAAAATGTTACGGATAAACGAGCCGTTTTTAAGTATAAACTATTTATAAACAAAATAAATATTCAGTTTTCTAGAAACTGTTGACTAGTCGCATCATTTATTACGGGATTTACGGCCTTTTCGTGTTGTAATGAAAATGGTCCGCGCGCCTGAAAAATTACAGAAAGTTACGGTTCGAAGATCTTTAAAAACACTTTAACAAAATCCATTTACTAGTAAAAATTTCAGAAAATAAAACAAAATCAAATTAGAAATTGAAATACATAAATATAGAAGAATATCTTCGAGGAAAATGGACTATTCATTCGGATGTTAACTATAACTTACATTCAATGGATTCTACAAAAGATTTACGGGATGGATTTTAGTCAAATTTAGTTCTTAATTACATTATTAACTAAATCCAGGAAAATTGCGTTATTCGTTGCGTAATTAACGAACAAACTATGAGAACCCCCCCCAACACAGAAAAATGAAAAAGTAACAAATTCTTTTGACGTTTGCCGTGGTAAAAGCCACCATTACTGCGACAATGATATAGCGCAAATCGATGCACTATATCATTACTGAGACAGGTAGCGCGTAGCTTACACGCGGGCCCATCGCGACCTATCCGGCACGAATCACTTTTCAAATATTAATAGTAGACCATTCTCTCTTCCGGGAGGAGGTCAACGACTACTTTTGGCCGAATTGCTTCGATCCCCTTCCGCAACAACCCCTTTTTTCTATCGGACCAGCGGTATGGTGGCATTCGAATAAGAAAATTACGTAATACCGGGTTACCAGCCTGCACAAAATATGTTTTAAGTTGTTTTCAAGGGTGCCGAATTTAAATACATGGCCCGTTCTTCGCGAAAGTTGATTGGTTGGCAGACTACCATTTGATATTCGGCCGCTACTGGTACAATTTCCTATAGTTGGGAAAAGTATGATTTATTAAAAGAAAGATATCATATTTTCAATTGGTGTCTACTCGACCAACGAAATTGTATCATTTCTACCGTCCAAGTACGGCGATAAACGTGACAACGGTAGGCCGAAATAACCACTCTTCGTATGATTTTCGTTTTAATATTTGTTATATTATAGTATTTGATTTATATAACTACAAAGGTTATCTTACGTAAGGGTTTATCACACCGAGTGACCAATCTAACACATTTTAAAAATCTTTTATTTCTCTACCGTACACAATTTAAAGAATTTTTAAAATGTGTTAGATTGGTCACTGGGTGCGATAAACCCTTACGTAAGATAACCTTTGTAGTTATATAAATCAAATACTATAATATAGGGGAGACTGGGGCAACTTCGGCATGCGGGGCAAGTTTGTCAAGCGCTTTTTTAAAAAAACAAATTAAAAGGAGACTTTGGTTATAGGTTAGGCAGTTGAGTTTTATTGGTGGCTTGTTGAGTGTAGTGTTTTTATTGTTCTCCAACAAGCGTAGTTGAATTATCAAGCAAATTTTCATTTTCGTTCAATTCCATATAATATTTTTTTTCCATTTATATTGAATTGGCAGGTTTTGTTATAATTCCATGATAACGAAAGTTACTTTTCCTGTTAGAAGGATGTAACTTCAACTTATTCACGTGGCCAGATCGTGGCTTGGCATTCTGTTCTCAGGGTTGTACTTAATGTTTCGAAATCATGACTAGCGGGGTAAGATCGGCAACATAAAGCCACATTAGAAGCAAAGGATAAAAATCAAACAGATGATAAATGAAAACATGTTTGCATTTGTTATTCATGTATATATGTCTTTGAACTTGCATTTCGTTGTAATAATATTAAATGGGTGTTGGATTTGTATTTCTTTGTTTTAATAGTGAATTCCAACTTATACATTGTTAATAACATAATTTTATATACGTGCCTATCTTGCCCCATTACTGTTGCCCCTATACCAGGGGCAACTTTAATAAAAATAATTAAAATAATTACAACTTTACAAAAAGAGAGAAGTTGCCGATCTTGCCCCTATACCCGGGGCAACTTCGTCAATTTCTCTCTTCTTGTAAAGTTGTAATTATTTTAATTATTTTTATTTCCAAACTGATTTTAACCAGTTCTATAGTAAGGTAACATTCCAATAGACAATATGCAAAGCTTTTTTTTCAGTTTACAGCAGTATTTATTACACAAAATTTAAGTAAAGCTTAACATGCCGATCTTGCTCCGGTCTCCCCTAATATAATAGAAGGGTTAGAAGAACGAAATAACCTTAATCTTTGTTGTTATTTTTTGCTAGTATTCGACATATTAAATCTGCTAGTATTTAATACGTTGTAAATAGCCAAGGGTAGAGTCCGGACTGAACAAATATCTTTGGCTACGCTGCTGTATATAATTTACACATACATCCGGAAATAACGATATTTTCTTTATTATTAATAAACAATTAATTAATTCAATGTAAGTAAAACAATAAAAAGTGCTGTAGTAAAGTTAAATTTATTGTCAAATTTCGATTACAAATGATACAATTCGTAGGCTATCGAATTTGGCCCCTTTCATCAGCTCATATATCATTATACTAGAATTTGCACAAAGGATATTATTTTTTATCGATTCTTAAAAATGTTACGGATAAACGAGCCGTTTTTAAGTATAAACTATTTATAAACAAAATAAATATTCAGTTTTCTAGAAACTGTTGACTAGTCGCATCATTTATTACGGGATTTACGGCCTTTTCGTGTTGTAATGAAAATGGTCCGCGCGCCTGAAAAATTACAGAAAGTTACGGTTCGAAGATCTTTAAAAACACTTTAACAAAATCCATTTACTAGTAAAAATTTCAGAAAATAAAACAAAATCAAATTAGAAATTGAAATACATAAATATAGAAGAATATCTTCGAGGAAAATGGACTATTCATTCGGATGTTAACTATAACTTACATTCAATGGATTCTACAAAAGATTTACGGGATGGATTTTAGTCAAATTTAGTTCTTAATTACATTATTAACTAAATCCAGGAAAATTGCGTTATTCGTTGCGTAATTAACGAACAAACTATGAGAACCCCCCCCGTAACACAGAAAAATGAAAAAGTAACAAATTCTTTTGACGTTTGCCGTGGTAAAAGCCACCATCCTTATTGAAGGTTATAAATTCATTACTAAAAATAACACGCGGTTCTATAAATAAATTTTAGGTTTGATGACGTAAAACCGGTAGACCAATTGGCCGTGACGTCACCCGCTACAGCTACGTCGAATCACGTGATGAATGTTTACGTCGCGATTGATCACGTGGTTGGAGACTTTCAGTCGCCGTATTCGGTATCGGGGGGTCGACTCTCCAATTTTACTATCCGAGAAGTCGTCTTCCGAGTAAGTATTCTCCCGATCAAACTCCTTTATTCTATTCACTTATATTGTCAATTATCTTTTATATAAAAGATTTCGCCGGCAAATTAATTTAGTTTTTTATCGCCCCGTTTCTCCCAATTTAGATGAGAAAAATTATCCAAAATTCATACTTTATTACTGTAAAAATCGGCATTTTCGAGTGGCCTATAAACACGCTCTTTAATATTCCAATATTTAAATATTTTTCTAAAATTAATAAAATTGCCCTTATTATTATTATTATTATCTAACTCACTTTTATTTCTATATTTTCACTAAAATTTCTCTAGTTACTTTTTATATATTATTAATAGTGCTCGACTTTGACTCGCGATCCTAAGCTGTAACGCGTAACAGATCTTTCCCCCACCCCAAATAATGTTACGTGTGAAAATTGAGGCCCTAAGCCTCAATTTTTATACGTAACGCGAGGCCCTAATCTATCCGCTAATCCCCAAACATCAATTTAGCTGGCTTTAGACTCATATACTTAACTTTATATATTTAATTATTTTACACAATTTTTTTGTATACTTCATTTGTATAATTGCCGTATTTAACGGCTTCATATTATTAAATTTTCTTCATTTGCGGGGCTTAAATATACAATTTTAAATTTAAAAATGATTAAAATTAATTTATCCTAATTTAAAACTTTTAATTTATTTTCGATTTTATTAAAAAAAGTTCTATTTTTTTTCTACAAATATCCAAATTATAAGTCGAAACTTTATAATAAAAAAATATTTTTTATTAAATATTTTATTAGTTTTTCATTAAAAACTCTTAAAATAAAATGACTTTTTTGGAGTTTTCGTAGAAAAATTAATTTTATAGGATTTACCTTTGAGTGATTCGCGAGATTATGTCGAGAATTTAAAATGTTTTACTTTATAAAAGCATTATCGATTGATAAGTAGATTTTAAAAAGTTTCTACATCTTCGTAATTAGGAACGTGCGACGAACAGACCTCCAGACGTGCAGGAAATCGCGTAATAACGTTTTCTAATTCAGGAATGGTAAATTCGTAAGGGAAACGAGTAGAGAAGTAGGCTACATTGAAAAAAATTGTCGGGGTGGGAAACTAATAATAGTCTTTTATTTTATTATAAACAGCTGCTGAAAGAATCCTTTCTGTCTGTCATCAAAACCTAGTTTTTAACCAGAACGAGCAGATTTTTCTGGTTATAAACCGGACCAAAAAAAGCGCTAGAAGCCCGAATTTCGACGATGGAAGATTAATAAAATGGAAAATAATGTTCTCGTAAAAATAGCTTAATTTGTTTGATTTCTAAAATGTATAAATCAGCTAGAAGTATGTTTACGTTTTTATTAACCGTAAGATGTCAGTTAACAAAACAAGATCGTAGATTACGGATTCTCTGGAGGTTTGTTTAACTTTATTAGTCGGCCAAATCGGAAACCCTTGTTGATAAATAAACATTACGTTATCTCCTACGCGATAAATAAAGTTTTTTTTTTTACCGTTTAACTAACTAGAAGAAAAAATAAAAGTCTAAATTAGAATAGTCGCGAGAAGAAAATTTATATGTATTTTTATATAATATATAAAAGTACTTCTCCGGGGAGGAGAGTAAAAAGATAATTAGTAACGAGCAAACAATTCTCGAGGTTTTTAATCAGTTAGGAATTGCGCAAGGTTTTTTCTTGTACAAAAAGAAAACATTTTCTGATACCAAAAGAAGGCTACACTTCATTATATACAGTGACAGCTCTGTAGACTGCGAGATCTGTCAACCTATCCAATTACCAAACAGATTTAATGCCGACAGTACGTAGTACCGACTGAATGGTACACTTGTTTAGTGACACAGCCACTCTGTGAGAACTGACAAATATCGCTTGTCTACCTCAAGGACGGCGCAATCAATGGCTCGGGTTTTACCCCCCTGGAATATTTATATTTAATAAGGGATCCTTTACCTTAATTTAGTCGGTTATAATTGTTTTATTGGAACATTACGGCGCTTAACGACTTCCAAAAAATCGCTAATGCGGTATCGGATTTAAATATTGTTTCCAGTAATTGATCAATCAAAAGCGATTCTCTTTTATATCGTTAGATTTGTGGATCTTTATTGCCCCGCAGTTGCAGGTTTGCAAATCGGAATTAAATATACAAAAGGGTATTTATTAAATAATACGCATTTTTATGCAACGAAACACCTTTCTCGCGAGTAATTGCTTCCGCGCAAGTTATAAAGTAAACCTTGCTAAAATTAGTGTTATTTTCTTGCGCGATAAAGGTGGAAACGATTCTCAAATATCCTTTACATTTCGCTTTATAAATTACATTAACTCATTCTCCGTTGTTACAATAACTTTTAATTTTGGTTACTGTTTATTTACTTTAAGTTTTTATCGTTAAAATTAAAGTAACGCTAGAAGTAATTTGTTAGTGAGGAATTAAATACGTATCCTAGGAACGTTCAGTATGAAAATGATTTCGATAATATCTAAATAAAGCGGAGAATAGAAACCAATGAGTGCCGAGTTAAGTAGCATTTTGGAGATAGCGATCGGAATGATCGAATCACTCGAATCGTAACTGTAATAACGTTAAAAATATTTCTTCTCTTTCAGAATCAGCATGGGATGCAGATTCGGCAAAACCGTACCATCTGTTAAAGATCAGAACGATCAGACAGATCCACCTCCTCCGGCTCCTACCGACCCGAGAATCCCTTTGACTGCCAAGCAATGTTTTTCTATATCAAAATCATGGAAGGGAATAGCCAGGGCGATGGAACCCACGGGAATTAATATGTTTGTCAAGTAAATATTCTTTTCTCGTGTAATTTAAATTTGCTTGTTGAAAATATGTTCCGAATTGATTCTTTTGTTCGAGTTTTTAGCTTTTTCTTTTATCCTTTTGCGTATTTCTCGTTTTTTTTTTAAATATAAATTTTCTCGGAAAACTTTTGCAAAACCGCAAAATGTATGTAATGTATTGCTTACGAAGTGTATTTTGTACGATTTCTCCCGAGCGTGCAGTGTATTTTTTATGAGGATCAAATTTGCTTCGATAATTCATTCTCATATAAAACATTATATTTTATATGCTAATCGGTAGATTAAAAATACGCTAAAAGTTCGTCATAGATACTATCTTTTTTAGAGTTAAAATTGTTTCATAAAACTTAAACATTCTCAGAAATAGCTTATGAAATAACTGGCGGAAAGAGTAAATAGCGATATGTTTTTCTTTGTAGAATGTCAAGAATGGCTTTATAATCCCTTGCCACCATTTCACAGTTTATAAGGTTATTGACTAGTAATTAATGATAATCGATTTTTACACCTTATGCGTGATAATTTTGAAAATTCTTTTTATTATTTTTCTAAAAACAAATCAATCTTTTGATTGTTTAAAAATATAAATACTCTTCTTCTTGTTATTAAATTTTAGACTCTTTCAAGATAATGAAGATTTGCTGGATTTATTCGAAAAATTTCAGTCTCTGAAAATATCAGAATCGAACTTCGAGAGTATGGAATTAGCGCAGCACGCTTCTATCGTTATGTCCACGTTAGACGAAAGTATAAGGTCTTTAGACAACGTCGATTATCTCTTGGATTATCTACATTCTGTGGGAAAATTGCATCACAAAATACCCGGATTTCAAAGGGAATACTTTTGGGTAAGCCCAAATTTTGCCTTTCGCTGTTACAAATATGAAGATGCTTTTTAATGTAAATCGATTAGCGTGACTGGCATCGAATTTGAAACTTTCGTAACTTTATAATTACTAATTGGAGTAAACAGAATGTGACCCGCATAGAAATCTGGAATAAACGATACAACAGCCCACATCTTTAAACACGTTTAGATACGCAACAAAACAAACATTAAAAAAAAGTCATTCGGTGTAATTGGTATTTTCGAAAATTGTACGCGGATAAAATTCTATTATTTCTGGCTATTTATGTGGATTCTCTTAAAAACCACCTCCTCGACATCCTATTAATTTTACGATATATCGGGGCAGCCTACATATAAACATATAGTCGATCTTTTATCCCGATTGTATAATAAATTTTCCAATTTAACTCGGTAGTTTATTTTATAGACTAAACGACAATAAAATTAATAAACCCGCAAGACATATATCGAATTCGTTTCTTAGATACCGGAATAACCTTCGTAATCTGAAGAAACGAAAATCGTACGGTTAGTAAATTGATATTTCGATATCGTATTACTAGTTATAGACAATATCCGTGGCATCTCCCGTCTACAATGCGAATTCGTTCCTATTTACGGTATTATCCTTCGCAGTAGTTAATTAGCGTACGACTCTAGTCTGTAACTTTTATTATTTTTAGATGTATTTTCTCCGAAAGAGATGATAGATAATTTATCTTCGTTCAACTGAAGATAATTACAGTTATACAATCAAACTGGATTCGAAGCATAGCTTCTAGACTTCTGGAGCGCCAGGCCCTAAGCCGTTTAGAGGGCCTCGTATTCGAGAAGCCTTACCTTAAATATTTTTGTGTGACTGAGTCTCCTCGATGACTTCTAGCTTAAGAGCCACAAATAGATTCTGTTTAAAGGCGCATTAAAGTTTACTATATTCGGTTTAAACGTTAATAAAACTTGTAAAAATAGTTTTATATTCTTCAACGTTATAAAAAACAACGTATATTTTTATAGTAAATCAATGTAGCTTTATATCTCCCACTTGTAGTACTAGAATAGCACTTTCTGCACATTATCTTCTTAAGATATTAATTTCTGGAAAGTAACCTTCTCAAATTACAGAAGAAAGTAGAAACTTATTAACCTTTTAAATTTAGCCAATGGTTATATTCTGAATAGTTTACTGCCTACACCATCTGTTAGTGAAGAAGATGAAACACTTTAGCTTATTTTTTAGACTATATACACCCATTTTATATTGAGAAAAGCTGTAACATAGTTATATTCGTAGCCACACTTTTAGATGCCGAATTGATTCGTTTTATATACCTAGTCTAACGTATCTAGAATTCGCGTATGCAACTTTACTATCTTTAAACATATAATTCTAAATTTTTATATTTTATATAAGTATAATACTTATATACATTTTTTTCCAGAGAATTGAGAAACCTTTCCTGGCAGCGGTCCAAGAAACGTTGGGAGACAGATATACAGAAAACATGGAAACTATTTATAAAATAACAATTCATTTTATCTTGGAAACAGTAATTGCGGGATACGACATGGGACCAGAAACGAATCAAAATAGCCTTTAGTCTGTTATTTAACGGTCGTTCGTCATTTTGTTACGTGTTGTCGGAAAGAAGAACGTCTGCTGTGATAAATGTATATTGGGTATGCTCCTTTCGTCGATTCGAATGCTATTTGCATCAAATTAAAGATGCCCAGAGGCATAATTCTGTGTTTGCTTTTAAATAAACGCGTTATTATAACTATTTATACAAAAATAATGCTATTTTCTTTAAATTTCTTAATTATCCAATCACGAGCGTATTACCTATCGCGTTAGTTTAAATATTGTTGTATTATTGGTCGTTGCAGTAACCAATGTTTTGCTATATATTAAAAACGTCACCGTTACGTAAAAAGAAATTGAAATACGCAATCGTACGTATCGTTAATTCGTGTGATTACTGCTATATTTTTTATAAAAAAAGAAATTTAAATATTATTAAATATACACTGTATATAAATGTAGAAGCGTAATTTGTTTAAAAATTACAATATTAAATGAATATTCTACACGTTACTTTTATTAATTTTTTTAAAAATTAAATTTCGATTTTATTATTATTTAATACAGTATATTGTAATGACGTCGATCGATAATATCGTTGCCATAGTGGAGGAGGGATAGATTTATACACGATAATCTGTATGACGTCGAATAATTTATGGTTGCCGGGAGGTAGAGAAGAGCATTTTCGATAATTCTGACATCTTATTTATCGAAAGTAAATAAGAAAAAGTGGAATTTGTCGACGGTAGATGAGTAAAATATTAACAGGGATTGAGTAAGATATAATAAATTGCACAGTGGAAACATTTATGTCTTCATCCATTCCTGTTTAAATAATTCGATTTTTGTATTCAAAATAAGAAAGACATTTTAAAAAAAGAATTTAATCCACGACAATTCAATATTTTAAAGTCCTTCTATGGACAGATTTGATATATTATCGGATGAAGTGGATTTTTATTATGATCAATGAAATTTCCTTCCGCTCTTGTCTTGTGGATGTGGAAATATCCTTTGAAAATATCGGGATCGAATGACCTGTTTGATGCGTAATTCGATAAGCATTTGTTATTATATCTTGTATTATTATTTTTTTTTATATAAGAGACGGCAAAACAATTTTTTATCCGGGAAAAAGTCAGTTGTATCGATCCGGTAGGCCACATTATATTTGATATCAATGCAACGTCATTTTTCCTATTCCTTTATAGTGCTACTTTGGAGACTTATAACACGTATAAATAAATGTATACGGGTTGTAAAAATGTTCTGGACAATTTTTGTAACTTTTCTTAAACTTAAAAATTGCTATAAAACGTCCTTGGCATTCAACTGATATCATTTTATTACCGTTGACTTACTCTGATTTAAGAGAGCAATTGATCGATATAAAACAGATTTAATAATGTAAATGCGACTCGTATAGTATAATTTAAAACGGAAAATAATAAAATGCATTGTTTTCTATGGAAAAAAAATAAAATTTGAAAATTTCTTTATATTTTTTTGTTATTATTATTATTTTTTAAATATAATTTTGTAGCAGTAATGACTACAGGAAATGGGTTGCGACCGGAGATAACTACGTGGGTTCGGCACGTCTCCGGTTTTATGTAAAGTTAAATGCGGATTGTCATTCATGGATTCAAATTGAAATGGGTTGTGTTCCCGCAAAATCAGTTTCTAACCTTCCTTATGGATTAGGTGGATTTAAAGGAGGTGTTCCTTTTGTCACTTATCAACAAAAAGTTGCTCTGGTACAAACGTGGAACGTTTTAATGGAAAACTTGTCTAGAGTCGGAGTTATAGCGTTTATGAGGTAAACTAAGATTAATATAACAAGTTTCTTACAGGTTTTTAAATTAGAAAAACCTATATATTTAATACAGAATATTCTACTTTTGATAATTTGCTTATCGTCTATCTTCTGGGTTAAGGCCAGATTTTGATTTTATTGCGGCCCTAGGATATAGCTATAGCTAGATGCCTTTCCCTTTCGCCAAATAATAAGGAGTTTGAAAAAGCCAGACCTTAACGTTTACCTTTGTAGAGTGAGGCCCTAAGCTATATCTCGTTTACTTTATGTGTAGGCTAAATCCTACTCGATTTAGCGATGGTATATTTTTAGAATGCGCTTTAATGATATATAAATACTTTAATTAGAAAATTTAATTATTTCGGTGGTTAATTTTTCAAAATTCCCGTTTAAATTATAAAATGTGTAATTCTATTACAAGAAATTGAAATCTATAAATTAATAGCGAAAGTAAAAGTTTAGACTAAGAAGAAGTTACCACGTAATAACTTAGTAATGAATCGGAAGCTCCAAAAACCTGTGTTTAACGACATCTGAATCTATAGTGTAATATCTTCAATCATTCCAAAAATGCTAAACGATACCTCATTATAATTGAAGATTTCGGGGCAAGAACACGTTAACTTAGTTTCTGTGTTGAATTTCTACACACATACAACAGATACGATTTCCATACTACAATTTCTACAATTTCTCATGGATTGACCTCCAAATAAAATTAATCATCCGTGGCTTGTCCCAAATGCAGAATAAATTCAAAACTTTAGGGTATTTTCTCAGAAACTTGAAAAAATGAGTTAATATGTTCTTGCCTCCAGGTCTTCAATTACCATCACTTTCCATAATACTGAAAATACTTGATATTACAGATATAGTATTCATTTTAAGGAATTGAATTTGTTCAATCACTAAATACCTTTATTAAAAACAATTGGTTAAAAGTCTAGACTGACGTCGTCATTTAAAATTCACAAAGATCAAACAGCATTTAAGTAATCTATTCGAATACATAGAATTGCAAGAAACGAGAGTTTAATAATATATAAAAACGTAATTAATATATAACAGAATAATTTAACAAACTTAAAAAAGTTCAGCGAGTCTCGTTAATTTAACAAATATAAGTAAAATCGATAGTACCACACAATCCGAAATTGTAAGTAAAATACGATTTTATAAATGAAATTTATTTTTAATATATTAAATTAAAATTTAAACGCGACTTTCTTTATTTTTATTTACGTCGTTATCTTTAAAAACACGCATAAATTGAAAATCCTTTCACGTAACAGATACGAATTAACCAACCTTCTTTTCATGTAATCAAGAAAAAGGAAGAGGATGGGATGGGCCGTGTGCGCAAAAATATTTTATATTAATTTTTAAATTATTTATCGGGAAATAAAGTATTAATATTTTTTAAAAAATTAAGATTTTCCCCCAAATCTCGAGCACAAAATAAATTTTTAACATTAGCAACGTTAAGTAAATGTACATAAACGTTATACCCGTGTGGTTATTTATTTTCAGGTTATTCGAAACCCATCCCGATGTACAAGAAATATTTATTCCGTTCAAAGGTTTAGATCACGAATCCCTTCGTAACAGCAAGGAATTAAGAGCTCACGCTCTTCGCGTTATGAGTTTTGTTCAGAAAGTAGTAGCCAGGTTGGAGCAACCGAGAAAATTGGAAATGCTTTTGGGAGAATTGGGTAAAAGTCACCTAAATTATGGTGCTAAAGCTGAATATATCGAGGTGAGATCGTCTTTATTTCAATTAATTTATCAATATTACTAATTAAACTTTACTTTTTTAAAGGCGGATTAAAATGAGATTAATAATGATGCTAGGATATGATTTTAGTCACGTGCACCAGTAGAATATTTTATGTTTAGTAATCCCTATCTATAAAAGTAAAGCCCTAGCTAATTACGCACTGGTGTCAAAACGAGGACCAAGTAAAGTTAAAGAAAAATGAATTTTGCTACGTAAAAATTATAATGATCAAATATCAAGGCCGTGTAAAGGTACTCGAAGCCGGGTGCGAAAGGAAATCGGGGTTCTCTTGCTTACTTGAGATAAGTAAACCACTGGGGAGACGAGATCGTACCAAATATTTCCTTTTGTCTTACCGTGTGCGGGTTTTTATATAATTCTGTCATTTGTTATCGCAGAAATATTATCATTTTCAATGAAAAAGTTTTAATATTTCATCGGTTTGGGTCTTCTAGATTTGAGACCCATGTCATATTCTTAAGAGATGATGCCACAGAGTTTAGTTTAGTATTGTACTTTATATTTTGCAATGTCACAGCGCTTGATTTAAAAAATATCGGTAAAAATTAAATATTTTCTAATTATATTATTATAAAATGGACGTTGTTTGAACATATTAATAAATACAATAGAATGTTTGTAATGTTCGTATTATGGATTGAAAATTTATATAAATATTTAAGCCCACTAGTGACCGAGTGGGTAAAACTACTGAATACTGGTAGTCGGCCACGAGGAATTTTCGAGTTTTCTTTACGTGTACTTCCGGGAGGTGCTCCTCCGTCCATGTGTTGCGCTGACTTATCAGATGTTTTGCGAAAGTTTAGGCAATTCTTCAAACTTGACAAGGTTGTGTGTGATTAAAAAAAAAGGCATGTTTTAAGTTGGTATATTTATTTCTAAACAATTAATTAGTTTTAATAAACAAAAACCAGTAGCTGGCTTTGTATATTACCAAAGAAACTAAAAAAAAAATGCAAAATAGTTGTTGCAAAGGTATCGACAAACTGTCTTCAAACTAAAAACAATTAATAATAATACAATCTTAGTGGCCAATATTTCTATCATCATTTCTAGTCAAGAACAAGGTTTTGTAAGATTTCGTGTTCTAAATTATACCAATAATACTCAAGATCTTCAACCGAAGCAAACAGTCTTCCAGCTGCACAGAGTTTCCTAGAGATTATACCCGAAGATTTTTCCATTGGGTTTGTCTGGGCTTCTCATTACACGGATTTTTTGTCTGAAACCAAGCTATAGCTGTGTTTCGGTACGAATGAATGCGTTATCTTGTTGCAATTTAAGTTTGCAAATGGAAGTAGACGATGCTTTAGTGTTTCGATGTAGTAATCGGATTTCTGTACTCCTGATATAAACGCTAGACTCGTCACGCCATTACAACTAAACGCGCACCAAACCAATATGGATACGCTTCCCGTTATCTACCGAAAAAAAAATTTTCCTCTTTTCACAAATCGTACCAATAACAAATCCACGCATCTGGCTCATCCAAATTCCACTTCTCTTAGAAAGACATTACAGGAAGCCACTCATCGTGTGTTTTTTTTTTCCTACCGCGGTCGTGCTTCAACGCGCTTTGGCTTTGGAGGTGGTCGGAGTTGCCATTTTGGAGAAACGAAGATTTAGAAATACTTTCAAACCTCGAATGTTATATTTGTTGTAAAACAACCTTTTTACAACTCGTGAATAATTTCCTACTTGTCTGAGAAATTACCAAAATTCGAACTCTTTCCCTAAATTTTCCACTTTTAAAACAAGGATTTTGCCTTACTTTTTAATTTTATTTAATAATATGCAAATGCTGTTTTCATTTACGAATCTACTTTAATCGTTTACGGATAAATAAGTATGTTTTCGTTAAATAGTTTTTATCATCACAAGAGCCACGTCAGTTAACGATATTGCCAAAACTATCGCAACACGCCTCATCAAACCCTAAACTCGGAAATAAATATGTAAATTCCATTAAAATTCGAAACATATATGATTAAAAAGTATGTCACTTTTCTTTCAGTTTTATTTATATTTATCAGTAATCGATAAATAGTAGAAAGAATGACATTCATCGCTAATAATTAGCTCAACGTTTTACAGTATAAATCGACAACCATTGCGGTTTACGCGTGGGTTGCATTCTTAGAACGAGAGCGCGAATAAAACGAGCAATTATTTATTTTGACATCGTCGCAATGCCGGGCCGAAATTTTCCAGTGAAAAACGAAAGTTCATATATCGTTAATCGATGCCACCCCCTAATCTTTCTTTATCTCATTCCGGCTTTCATATATCTAACTCCGTTCTAGAGATTAAGGAAGGACGGACGAACAAAAACAGTAGGAATTTACAGTTTTTTTCAAATTGCGGCTCAATTTCTGGCAAATTATGATAATGTATTCGATAGAAATACATTAATGTTCACTTAATAAAATATACAGTATTTATATTATTTTCGTAGAGGCGCATTACTTCATAATTTTATAAAAATGCCGCCATCCGTCCGTTACTTACTACTAAATAAAGCCATTACTATGTGTAATTAATTGAGTTAGACAGCGATACTTTTGGTAAAAGCCGGAAAATACGTAATAAAAGTAATTAATAATGATTTACGATTTATTTTAGCATTGGAGTCGCGAGCATTCTGTAATCATAGCGTAGTCAATACTGTTATACTACGTAATTCTATAGGATTATATAAAGTCAGTTATAAAATAATTTATATAATCCTAGCTGAAAAATTAACGAGGAGGAAAAATATATGAAACGTAACAATTCCGTAAATCCTTCGTATAATCTATCCCGTTAAATTTAATGTCACAATTATTGACAGAATTTCTTTGTACGCCCGTATCGCGATTCGATCGTACTTAACGGCGGCAGAATTATTAAATGTTAACTTTTAGCATTATTAGGGTTTTACAAATATTGTCCGAATTGGAGAAAAGATAAATCGTATTTAGTTAAGGGGTAGGCGTCCTAGAACGTCACGGATTTCGGGCCAAAGCGGTACGATTCAAATTCTGAACTACCAGCTCGTGATTTTTGATTTAAAAAACCGAATTTGACTAGAAAAATACACTTAGATTTTCGAGAGCTTTGCATTTATATGGTCCCAACGTTGGACGAAATTAACGTATTCTGTTAAACGTTAGAAACGTTTCGAAAGGTAATGAACTTTGAAATAGACTTTTACAAAATTTTAACAAAATTGAAATAGACTTTTACGTCAATTTGAAAGATTACGGGTGTCGAAGAGAAATTCATCGAATCGATGGGAAAAGGCAACGCAATACGAATAATCTGCCAAGGGAAGACTTTCTATTTATATTTGTATATGTTAAGAAACCCATAAAATTACCCGTTATTGAGGCACGAAGCCGCGACATTTATCAACGTTCAGTAGTTTGATCCATTCGGTCACTCGAGAAATTGATTCACGTTTCGTATTATTTATGTCTAAAGTTTTATCATACTGTAAATACGTAGCGATTTAGCCGAATCGCGACATATTTTACGCGATACAATAAATCTGTAGTTTCAATAATGTGTCGGTTTTATCACGGCTCTAGAGATCCATATAAACGAAATAATGAAAATACTCGTAAATTATTAAATACCGTAAGAATATAATGGTAACGAATAGAAAACAGATTTTTTTTTTTTTTTTAAATCGTGCAAACGTAATTTGTTCGTAAATAGACAATTATAAATTCATTATACGTATATTCATTATACGCGGGTTGCAAACGGTACGAACAGAAAACTAAACTACGCAGCAACTACGATCAAAAAGATTATCCGTAACACGAAATCAAAATTACAAAGTTGGGACCATCGGAGCTTTGTTGTATATGGCGGACAACTACGGAGAATAACCTGCCGGTAAAACCCGGGGCCATATTCTGGTCATTGTTTCTGGTGTCTTGTCTCTCACAAGCCGGTCGCTGATTGGCTAATCATTTGGATTAGCCAATCAGCGACCGGCTTGTGAGATACCAGAGACCAGAATACGGCTCCCGGTAAAGGTTCTTCCGTATCGGTGTCGACATTTTTTCGAAGCACGCCGCATAGCCTATTCGTTGCTAAATTATAAATAGACGAGCGCGTAGCTGACACGATAATAAATTAATTTGCATAACTTCCCGAGTTAATTTGCAAAAATTATCGACAATTGTTGAATTGTTTATTCTTTTATTCCGATAAGAAGTTGAAATAATAAAACGTAGAATTGAATCTTTTCGACAATATTCGCAACCTTCCTCCATTTATTTTCGAGAGCGTTTCATTAACTCGTAATTAGCATCTTATTTGCCGTAATTTTTGCGTCATTTAAGTAAAGTTCTCGTAACTTTTGTAACGACGCGCTCATTTTTTGCAACATTTTTATTGTACATTTTGTATATAAAATGTACAAATATGTTCCACCGGACACAAACGAGTCCTTTTTCTCGGTTACGTCGCTGCGAAACCAACCGTCGATCTCCGGACTACAGCCATATTAAGTGAATTTATACGCCGTTTAGATCTTTTCGTAATTGTTTTTCCGCAAAAATTTTGTTGACTGTCGACATTCTCGTAAAACAGTAATTGAAAAATATAACAATGTTTATTCGATAATTGCAAATTAATACGTTAAAAAGTTTACCCGGTTTATTTATATATTAGATAAAAATAACATTAAATGTTATTAACGCATTTAAAAATATTATAATAGTACAAGCAGCTTATTTTATGTAATTTACTTCAATTTGAAAAGTTTATATCTAAATCGAGCTGTACGGCCAAATCCGGATTTAGAGTCGTCGTAGCCTTAGCTACAATATACGAAAGGCTTTTCCTTCTTCGCTAAATAATAACGGGTAATACGTATTAATATAAACTGTCTTTGAGAATAAAACGAGACCCCGAGGCGGTGTTTTTCAATATTTGTCATCTCACCGCACGCTCGAGCCTATAATTAATTTTCGTGGAAAAGCGCTGCCCTAAGGTATAGTTTACTTAGTTTATTCCCAAATCCGGTCTCTCCGAGGCGCATTTCCTTAGATATTTCATCACTTTCGATTATCGTTAAAAAATCTTGCGACTCCTAACCTTATTAATATTCGTTACGAAACTGTTATTAGATTTGATTGGTCGGAAGCGCACGAATCTGGCAGAAAATGGAAAGCATTTAGACATCTGGCAGTTGAAAAGACATAAAATGAATATTTTCCACCGGGATGGGTGCGACTAGTAGTAATGTATATATCAATAAAACATATTTATTCAAAGAAATCATTTTATGACTTAAAACTTATCTAAATCTTATTCCCTAATTCAAACTTTCTACGCGTTTCTTCGTATTTTTCATTTTTAGTAGTTTTAAAAATCGTGAAAATACTCGAGATCCAGCGACGAGTTGTGTAACTTTCCCGGCGAAAAAATATTCAACATTATTATATGATTGTTTGTGGCGCCATCTGTTACGAGATTATTTTATAATATAAACATATAATTTACAAAGGATTGAATCTGATTTATTGTATTTGTATTTTGTAGAAAATAGGCCCTCAGTTCATTTACGCCGTGAAACCCATGTTGGAAGATCATTGGAACCCGGGAGTGGAAAACGCCTGGTTACAACTGTTTCGATACATCACTCATTACATGAAAGTGACGATGGAACGGAGCGATAAAGAAACGGTCGACGACGACAATCGAAAGAAAAATAAAATGAAAATAATGAGACATTCTTTTCGCGGTAAACTGTATAAATGATGTGTACATAAAACGAGTAACGTATATCACCACTTATTATCAGGAAAATCATAAAATTTTCCATTATCACTCATTACTGATAACGTTTACGCATTTTGTAAATTTACTGTATATTTGAATAAAGTCAAAGTTTTAACCCATGCGTTAATGAACTATAATTTTTTATTCAAAGTTTTATATAAATTATTGGGCTGAAATTTGAAAACATTGTAGACCTATAAATCATCACTGTCGCCTGTCTGTCCGTCAGTCTCTCCTTAATCTCGAGGAGGGAGTTAAGATAGATGAAAGACGATATCGGATACGGAAAGATTAGAGGTAGGAGGCCCCGATATATAAAACTTNACCTATAAATCATCACTGTCGCCTGTCTGTCCGTCAGTCTCTCCTTAATCTCGAGGAGGGAGTTAAGATAGATGAAAGACGATATCGGATACGGAAAGATTAGAGGTAGGAGGCCCCGATATATAAAACTTCCGTCGTATTATTTCAGTTCAAAAAATTTCCCCCCGAAAGGTGTTAACGATAGTAATGCCGTTTTACTAATTTGAAGTTGCGAGAATATATTTTAAGTAAAATAAATTAAAAATTACAGCCCGGGATTGTGACCGTGTCGCAATAAATAAGATGCTCGTTATTTATGTATACAGTATGTATTATATACAACGCTATATAGAATTAATAAGATTTAATCTCAGCTCTTTTCAGAATTCATAGTAATTAGACTCGATTCTGTGGTCTTAAAAATATAATCAATCAACTACTCGAATTATTTCAAATACTAAACAATATTTTGAATTTATTTTTAAACACTATTAAAAATGTCATTTGAAATAAATGCTTAAAATAAACAAGTTTTTAATTTTTACTTTAATTTTCCAGATACAATAAAAGAAAAAAATTATAAATTTAATTTATAGGCTTATAAAAAATTACTTAAAAAATTATACTCATGACCAGAAGACAATACGAAGTACACCGCCTTTTTTACATAACAGGAACAATAATTTGTCTTCAGATTCGTTGTTTTAACAAAAACTTTAATCTTTATATTCGTCTGTTTCACTTCATAAGAACACAAAACTATTGTTATAACTCCCTGTTTTAGTGTTTATTCTCATTCCGTATTCTTGTGTTATAGGTGTGTTCTGATTCTTATATCCCTGTGTGACAAATCTAAAGACTCTATACTTTGTATTGTCTTTTGTTTAAGTTTAATTTAAACAAAAATTAAACTCGTGCAAGTGAATGCAAATAAAAGGAGGAGACGAGACAGATTTTGATTTACCTTTTCATGTTTTATTGCTGGATTTATGAACAACAGACATCCGCTACACCAGCCAACAACATCTAGAATAAGGCGTTTCTCAATACATTACTTGCTCAATGAACTGGACATAGAAACCTTTCGGTTTTACATATTTTTTATTTTTATTTATTTTTTGTTTTTTTTAATCATGTGACACCAAACGTGTCGTTTGGAAGACTTAAATTTCACATATAATACTGCTTATTCTTTGAATTTGTTTTACTACAAACACATAAAACATGGTTAACATCGATTGCTGAACGTGCATAGATCGAACCAGAAGAACAAAACAGGAAAAAAAGTACAAATGTGGTTCGATCTCTCATTGATTTATGTACACAGTACCTTTACGAAAGACACCGCTTCATTGAAGTTACATAGCTATACATACATATGGAAGACCTTTTAAATTGCTAATTATCTATCTATTTACGTACAGTACCTACTGGAATTTGAATATATCCAAAATGAACATAAACACGTTCAATGGTTCAACGAACCAAAACAAAACAAATTTTTGACATGTTTACAATTGCCAAGTTAATGAACAGAAACGACGTTAGGCAAAGAAGTCGTTAACTTCTTCGTTCACACTCGTAAAATTCTCATTTTTTTTAATTATAATTAACTAAAAATTAACTTTATTATCGGTTTCTGGGGTGTTTCTAATTAAATTTCCTTTAATAAATTGGTTAAATGTGTCTATTGTACGGTGCTGCGCTTGGTCGCGTCGCGTCGCGTCGCGTGGGGGTGATTGTATGAAGTGTAAATAATTTATATATANTATATTTTTAAAGATTGAAAAAATTGAGCAACAGTAAATATATATGTATATATTATTATATTATATTATTGCTATATAATGATTATGATTTAATATGTTTCTAAAGCAATAAAACAAATATACAAACACAATTTAATCTAGCTAATATTGTTAATGAAACCAGTATTTTGATATTTAAATTCAATAATCAATCTTCAGAAATGATTATGTATTCACAAATGTCTACAGAAATCATTTTTTACCCTAAATATATGATTATGAAAAATTATAATGTTATTTCACTGTTTACAGACCAATTAAATATATTAGATATAATAAATGTATTATACACAGGTACATAAAAAATGATACAAACAAAAAATGATAGTTTACTAAATCAACATTAATTCCATTGTTTTATTGAACTGGCATTAAACAAAAAAGTGACTAGAAAACTATGGCATTTATATTCATGAAAAACAATAATTATTTATAGTTTAGTTGATCAAAATTGTTATTTTTCATAAAGGTAATGACTAAAAATTCGCTCAAAAATATTAAATAAATTTTAACTTTCAAACTCATTTATAAAAGATATTAAAATCTAAATTTGTGGAACCTTAACGTAATTTGTAAAACCTTAATTTTGATGTATAAACGTTTTAGGCGGTGGGAGTCAATTCTGCGATCGGTCTAACGTCCGACGACGGATCGCAAGTACCGCTGGAGCGAGCTCGAATGTTCCTCATTAAGCGGATGCAACTCGCTATAAATATTCCTATCCATAACAGTACCGATGCCCAATAAGTAAACTGAAAATAAAATAAATTTTAACTATTATTAACTTTCTATTTTTTGTTAGAATAAAATTGTTGTTTAATTGTATAATAATAATAAGTCCATTATATTGCATATGAGAAAAAAGAAATATCTGTTATCTGTCAGAAAAATTAAGATATCATCAATCAAAATGAAGATTACAGTAATATTTTAAAGATAAACTAATTCAAAAATAATAGAACTCTCCACCAATAGTTTGGTGTTAACTGGTTAACCTTTCTACCCCTGGAACTAAGAAGGTCTCTTTTAGTAAGTATGGCCAGACCTTCAATGGGATGCTGTATGGTGATGGACCACTCCCTGAAAAATCTCCTGGGGTACCTTGACCTGTCCAGACCCAATCCAAAGTCCCCCAGAGTGAGAGGCTGCCAAACCCAACCACTGTCATTTTGTTATCATTTATTTACATTTATAAATATTAAGTGCAAATAGCAAACAACAAATGAATTCAAATATAATCTCAAATACAATATTCATATAATACGATTGTTTCATTAATAACTTTTTGTCAATCTCTAAATAAAAAAATAATTTATAATTAAATATCAGTTTCAGTTTTTAATAAATACATTAATATTTTTGTTCAAAAATTGACATCAAATCCATCAAAATTATTAAAAAAGTGTACTGGTAATAAAAAACATTAACTGACAATACCTGAACCAACATTACTCCATTATAATCATCAAAAGAAGTAATTTTCTTAGATTTATATGCCATATTAAATATTTTAGAACATCTATAAAAAATATACACACAGTATTATATATTATATATATTGAAAAAAATATATATATATTATTTAAACATAAAAAATTAAAAAATACAACCAAAACACTAAAGTATATAATGTTTTAATGATTTAATGTAATATATATTTAGATATAATCATTAAATACAAAGAAAACCATGCTTACGGTTTGGTTGGATCATTATCAGTTAATTTCAAACATGTTGAATGAAAACCAATACTAAATACGCATGCAGCCACAAAAGTAGTCAAAGTAACTAGAGAATTCAACAAGAGCCATGGCATTATCCACATTGTACGTCTAAAAAATTAAGCAAACCACCATTTAAATATAATATAAAAATGACAATACATATTAAGTACTAACATTGATAAAAGGAGTTAATAAATTTCATAAATATTATTTATATTTATCTCATGACATTCAAACGTAATGTCCATGCTGGAAAAGAGAGATATGCACTGTACAAATTTTGTGGCAAATTGTGACATGGGGTAGGGGGAGTGCTAATAGAATAATAATGCTCTAAAGATTCTCAAAAATTTTATTTGAAATAATTTTTTTTGCCAAAATCATCTTGAAGAAACATTTTGATCAATCACAGCAAATTTTTGATTATTTAAATAGTTACACTTTAGTAGAACTTTTAATATGAAAGGATAATGGCAACAATTTATCCTTTACAGATAAGATTACAGATAAAGTTACTATTGAAAGATATACTACTCTCATATTACCTTTGTCTAGGACTTACTTAAGTTAGTATAATATCATCAGACCTCTTCTGTAGTAAATCTGTATTTCAATCTTTTACTTTTTCTATTGCTTATTTTTAAAATCAGCCTCATCTTGGCAGGAAATATGAATAAAATAATGTACTATTTTACAGAAATGCTTGATTCTAATATCAAGAGAAAGGAAGATTAAGTATGATAACAACATGGGGAATGTCTAGACATTTGTGACAAAATGTGACTGGGAAGGGGTAGGCAGTCAAAAACAACTTAAAAGTAGTGACATCATATTTGAAATGACCCCTCATATATACAAGGGTTGATTGATAAATAAAGTCCTCATTTTTATAAAATTAGTTTTGAAAGAGATAACAATTAAATCAGTTTTAAACAGTAATAAAAATTATCTCAATCATATTTAATATATATATATTTTTCAACATAATCTCCACTTACAGTAACTTATTACTCTGACTGTAACCAACCAATGGAGGTTCCTTATTATCATTTATTATTCAAAACACTTAATCTATTTTGCATTCTATGCATGAAAAACTTTGATTTCTTTCTCAATTCTTACTAATACAGAAACTTTGTCATCCAATGAAAAGTGTTGATGTATCATCACTACCTTTAATTTTTGTCTAATATGTTAGATCTGAGTTGTGAGTAGAGTATAAAATAAAATTAACTTCAGGTTGTTAAGTATCTTTACTGTATTTATACTGAAGTGGAGTCTTATTGTGGTGCACAAGAGAAAAACAGTTCTTTCTGGCCTTATTCTATAATTATATCTTTTGAATGCTTGTAAGATTTTGTAATATCTGATACAAGGTAGCTTCAAAAAGTTCACAGAAAAGTTGTTTATTTTCTTAGTGAATGGAATTACACACATTTAGATGACATTATCTTCAAAGTATTGGCCTTTTGCAGCAACACATTTCATACAATGGTTGTAACATGTTCTGGCACTCCCCTTATTTGTAACTGTGTGCATAGCACTTTTTGCAGTTGTAATAACCTCGTCAGAACTGTTGAATTTTCTGCCTTTCAGGAGTGTTTTCTTCTTAGGAAAGAGATGAAAATCATAAGGGGCAAAATCTGGTGAGCAGGGAGAATATGGGAGGCACATAACAGAGTGTTTACACAGTTTACACAGCTATTGTTGCACATGGATTGACTGATGAGCTGGCATATTGTCATGAAGCAAAAATCAATTTCCCAAAGCCCACAGATTGGGTCATTTTTGTCTGGATACTAGGATACAAGAAACACTACCAGGATATCCTACAGTGATTGCCTCATGCAATCACCATAGGATATCCTAATAGTGTTCCTTGTTGACTGTTCTTCCCTCTGGAATGAACTCATAATACATGATTCCGCTGCTGTCAAAAAACACTTCCAACATCACTTTTCCCTTTGAGCAACCCAACTTGAGCTTCTTCTGCCTGGGAGACACACGTTTCCAACCCAACGACTGTCTGGGAGTTGAACAAGAAATACCATGTTTTGTCACCAGTGATCATCATGTTCAACACATCTGGGTCTGCATCAACAGTGTCAATGAAATTGCTGCAAATTTCCTTATGCAATTGACAGTGGTCTGCTGTTAACTGTTTCGGAACAATGTGTTCGCAAACTCTGTATTTGCAGATCTTTGGTAAGAATGGTAAGAATGGTGTGACAGTTTCCTACCGAAATTCCACATTTTTCTGCTCAATACTGAAGCTGCAATTTAGAATTACATACATTTTTCACAAACTTTTTGAAGCTACCTTGTACATTAAAGTTCAAGATACTATATTAGAATGAATCAAAGGAAAGTCAAAGTTTTTCATGTACAGAATGCAAAAATAGATTGAGTGTTTATAAAAATGTCTCTAAATGGCAATTATAAATATGGATGATTAAAATGATGTTTAAAAACTAATTACATTATTCAACTTCTATCCAAACTCATTTATAAATAAATTATTGTATTTCTTTCTTCAATTATATGCTGAATGAAATATTAATAAATAATAATCAATATATATTATAAAGGTAAGTGTACAATGTGCATGCTGCTAAAACTCAAAAACGAGTCCTGGTACGATCAAGAGAGTTATATGGTGTGGTAGCCCTCTATCCCCCCATCAATGAAGAAGGTTACCGTTTTTACCTGAAGGGCATGCTGTTGAAGATATAAGGGCTGGAAGTTTCGCCCTCTAGAAATTTCTAGAACAGTCCAGAACATTCAAGTGTATTCGAGAGCATTCCACAACATTCCAGAATGTTCTGGGATATTCTGGAACATTCGGGAACATCCTGGAACATCCCAGATCATTGTGGAACATTCCAGAACACTCTCGAATGTTGCAGCATTTTCTGGAACATTGTGGACCATTCAAAGCCTTTTTTGTATGGGTGGGACTACCCAATGGTGGGGGTATATAAAGCGAGACCTGTCGTGGGTTCGAACATCAGTTTCTTATCAGTGATGAAGGGAAGAACCGAAAAAGAAGTGAAAATTCCATAGTAGTGCAGTGAGTGAATAAAAACAGTGAAGTGTGAGTAGTCAAAGTGATACATTGACTGAATATAAATCAAAAATAAAGTGTGATTTAATTTATATTTTATACAATGCCCAAACTTAAAAGAGGAGGAGCTCTTGCCAGTTCTGAAGCAAAACAGCAAAAACAAAAAGAACAGCGAAAAAAACGAAACAGTCGAAGAGCGCGAGGCACATTTACGTTCCCAACGAACGAGAATGAGCAACCAGAGTGGCCCTTCAACCAATAGAAGTTAATATCTTTTGAACTTTGCAGCTTTTGGAGAAGCCCAAGAATGTCATTAATAATTGGGAGAAGAGTGTTCTTGTTTTTAATCTGGTGAAGGGTCACCTGGCTGTCTGTGAAGATGTTGATGCTCCTGCATTTGATGATATTCTGGAGAAACTGAGTATATTCCAGAGCTTTCAGAATAGAAAGCGACTCTGCTTGATTGTTGGAGCAATTGTCATCAGAATATCATCACAAATAAAAGATGAATAAAATAATGATACAGTCAAATAAGTCTCTCATATTGTGATTTTCATATGTTAACACATGTACATTTTGTTTCTCTTGTTTTTCTCTTCTCCTTTCAAACAATGTTGTCATTCATTGAGTTCATTACTTTAAAAATTTATCTTTTGTGAATTTGTTAGTGCATTTTTTAGTTCTGCAAATTCCAATATCTACAACAAATATTTGTATTTCTATTGCTACTTAAACCAAGCTTTATGCTTACTTAATTTTAAAAAATAGATATTTTTTAAATGGATTGTGTTTACTTGGATATTTATTTTAGTTATGATTTTTTCTATCAAACTCTAATTTTTAATAAATAAATCAAACAAAGCTGAAAATAGTCAACTTCAAAATAAATAGTAGATAGGTGCACATTAGAAACTGTAACTAGGTGATAAGAAATGTTCACCCAGAAAATTTTCTGTAACATTAGCCTAAGTGAACATTTCTTATCTGATTAGTCAACTTCAAGCCATTCAAGTGTGTATTTTCTTAATTCATTATTACTGTATATGAAAGTAGAAGTAAAATCTCCATTTTGTAATAATTTATCACTTAGTTGATGTGGCCTATGATATAGAAAATTTAAATAAGATTAATAAAAATTTTAAATAAATTGTATCTGCTGTAACAGATTTAAGAATTACATTTAAATTTCAATAAAATCAATAATTCTCTAGCTAAGTGTAATAAAATAATATATAAATAATTATTATCTCTTTAGTTTATATTTTTTATCTCAAGTATTAGATAACAGATAGAAAATTACCACTCTGCAAGTTTAAAATTGTTTACTAAAGGCTACAATTAATTTATAGTTTATTTGTTTAAATTAATTTTTAAAAATCTTAATTCTATAATGATATTTTTATTAAAAAATAAATTAATCATTTTTTTTGTAATATATGCACACTTAATATACAATAGAATCCAAATTATCTGAGGTAATGTGGATCAATGCTACCTTGGATAATTGACAACTTGGGTAAAATGGATGCCATGGCAATTTCAGATTTAAAAATTATGAACATGAAAGATTTATAGGATATATCTCTTTAAAGCCTATTTTTTGCTTTAGTGAATTTAATTATATATAAGTATTATTTTTACATAAAAATTTTGAGCTCTCGAGTAGTGGCACTTCCTACCAGTTTTTGTTCCATTCACATTAAATTCATTTGTGAAAATTAATTTTTATTCTCTGCTCTCAGTTTAATCTATGGCTTTAACTGTTTAAGCAGCAAACTGTTTTTACACCAACTTTACCACATAGTTCCTGTAAAAAACTCAATACTTTCTTCTTTTAACACATTTTATAGTTTTTCTTCTTAACTTTTTAGGAATGAAACTCCCTTTATAGCATGCAATTCTATACAAAAAATTATATTTCTGCTAAGACTACTAAAAGGGGTAAAAATATGCCAAAATGATGATTTCTTGCTTAGAGCAAAATCAATTCCTTTTGCAATCTGAGTCCATTCTATTAGCTTCAGACCCAACTATCTGAAAAAACTATCATGAGAAAAACAAGAAAAAACATCACATTGCCCAGGATATCTTCAACTCTTCCTGGCACTTAGATGTAACATGCTCAGTGCATTCTTTATTCATTTATTATTCTTTAAATCAAACACTCATAAGTCAGGGTGGCCTTTGTGCTCTCTGGTAAACAAACATATGCATCCTACATGTTTCTAAGAAATAGAATTGGCAAGATTTTTTAAACCTTTAACGGTTCAATCTGATCTGGTGGTCTCCACGGACATTTGGAAGCAAAAACAGCATTTAACAAAGTATTTGACTTCACTTTTATAACCACTGAAAAGAGGGATTTTTTGGATGAATAAAATAAAAATGTTACATTTGCTGATTTCAAGAAATACTCAGATGATTTTATTCCCAGATATTTTATTTAAATGAATTTTGGATTGAAGTTTTTGACAATCTCTCTTCAGTAAAGGTACAGTCTGCAACAGAGTTTACACCAATTTTTTGAGTCTGACATAAATCACGGTAACAATCCTTATTACTGCGATTGAGGTCGGAGCAATTCTTGAACTCGGGTGAATGTCAAATTCAAAGGACATAACATTTCATTTTATTTGTCCAAATCCCCTTTTAAGTGATTGTAAAAGCAAATGATTATATCCAGCAAATACTGTTAATTTTAGTTTTGTACTATTTAACTCTTTACCACCAAATATGTTTCATTTTTACAAAATAGATGTTTCCTTGTATCCATCTGTAACCCACTTCAATGCAGAATTGCTATCAAATACATTGTACTAAAAAAAGTTTTTCTATGCAACAGGTGTTGAAAATAAATGAGGCCATTTTACTTACAGAACATAATCATTTTTGCTTTAATAAAATATTATATATCAAACAATAAGAAAATTTTTAGACTTACCCAATATGTTGATCTCTAAAAGCAACCAATGCTGCATATCCATGGTAACCAGTCATTGCAAATGCATAGAGCAAAGTAATTGCAGGTAAATACAATTCAAAATCACAAATAGGTACTTTTCCACAATCTTCATTTTCAACAACAACCTTAGGTTTCTCAGAAAACAGAAAACATTTTCCCGATACATTGGACTAAAAAAGTTCAATATAAATAATAAAAATATTTTATAATGTATTTTAAATAAATTAAAGTTAATAATAAAATTAATTATAAATAGATAAACATACTAGACATAATGCTATCAAAAACTAATAAATACTTTCTGACATCTTGCCTTTCTGAAAGAAAATTTTAATGGATTTTAACAGAACTTTTGTTTTTTTTTAAAGATTTTAAGATATTTTAAGTAATAATTATTAAACCATGGCTTACATTTTAATGAAAGCTTATTTGTTTTTGATTAATATAAAAACACATTAATAGTATTTAAATTCTAGTTTTGATTAATTGCATGATTTCTGAAATTAGTACTTTTCGTAAAATTAACCAATTAGCAAGTTTCTAAACATATGTAGACAAAGAAAAAAGCTGACTATTAAACAACAGGTATTGATACATAAGATACAGCAGAGCCACATCAGGCAATATAATTGTTGGTAAATTGTCCCATTCCCAGGATATTTACAGTATTATTTTTATTTTATACCATACTATATAAAAATTAGAAGTAGAAATGAGTATACTGTACATAACAGATGAAACTTATTTTTTATATTCACTCAAACACAACAATGAGAAATTTTTCTTGCTCATTTTATGTATGAAAAATAGTTTGAATTAACATATTCTAAAGTATAGAAGTATGTGTGTTAGTGTGAATGCTATTCCTATTCTGGCTGCACCTCAGTGGACAAAAAGTAAATCAGTAGGCCAATCTTAGTGTTTCCATCACTTTCACCTGGCCCCGGTGAACCCGATCTCTCCAATATATATAAACAGATTAATGTTGATTCTATTAACAGTATAAATCAAATCTAGCTAGTTCCTTTATGTTGTTAGATCAACATTTTTCAATCTGTAATTTGCAAATTCAGAAGAATTTCAAGCTATTCTTTATAATGTGTTTTTCTAGTTTTGTGAAAATGTTTCCTTAATATAAACAGATTGGGAAAATACCATATTAGATTAACTGTAAAAAATTAAAATGGAGGAAAAGGTAAAAGAGTAACAAAATTTTTAAAGGCATTTTATGGAAACACACACAAAAAAAAAGTGATAAAATAACAAATAGGAAATATCAATAAAAAACCAAGAAGATAAAAAACTAAGGAGGAAAATAATTTTTCCTAATTATTCTATCATTCAGTTGAAGTTGCTCAAAAAAATGTTTGAATTAGATTTAATTTACATTTGAAGAGTATCCTTAACATGTATTTTTCATTATTCATTTATAGTTTTGCAAAAAAATTTTATTACTGATAAAAAGACAGAAATAACTGCTGTATTTATAATGATAAAATTAAATCTTCATTAATTATATTTTAAAATAAAATGTATCTTTTTTACACTAAATTATTAAAAATTAATATTACTTAAAGATAAATTCTACCTTTAATATCAATCTTAATTTGATTTGTGAAAGATTGTATTTGTGGCAAAATGGTATTTTTATTTATAAACTTTAAGAAATAAACAACGATTTAATATCATCACCGAATTAGCAAACCACTAAACATTAAAACTGTGTTAAGTTCTTCATATTATTTTCTTATCTTTCTCGCTATGCATTTACATTACACAAAACAATTAATTCACTCCAATAATAATTCAATTGCAAAATTTACGTCCAATTTTATATTAAATAATACTAAGTATTGTAATTAAAATAAAAATGTTAAGTAAGAATTAAATTTACAGGTAGAATTTTCCCCTAAACCTCTCAAATTATAGAAGGTTGATAATCTTCAGGATAAAATAAAAATGTTAAGTAATTATATACTTACGTAAATGTTCTCTATTTTTAATATTCATGACTTCTTCAGTTAAAGGTTGATAATCTTCAGGATAAAAATAACCATTAGGCATGTTGGCATCATAAGGATGATATGAACTATCTTGTGGATAATCACCAGACTTAATCCACATGTCAGACTGTCCGTCACTCCCTAGTGTTGGATTACCATCTCTTATTGAAGAGTTGTAAAGCATTCCTATAATTTTAATAATATGTTAATACAAAATAATAACATATTAATTAAATGTTTAAAATTTTAATTATTAATACCATTATTAGATTGTTGTATCNATTAATTCACTCCAATAATAATTCAATTGCAAAATTTACGTCCAATTTTATATTAAATAATACTAAGTATTGTAATTAAAATAAAAATGTTAAGTAAGAATTAAATTTACAGGTAGAATTTTCCCCTAAACCTCTCAAATTATAGTCCAACAATTGTCAATGCGTTTAAGGATTTAAGTTGTGTGATTTTCCAAAAATTGGATACGTAACAAACATAATATTAATTAATATAATAAATTTGCTTTTATTGCGTAAGTTTGCAGGTAAGAAAACTTACATAATAAGACAAATTTAAATCGAAATATTTCATAAGAAGTAAACCATACGACGAATTTCATATTTAAAGAGTAGTGAGAAATTTTTACCTTTATAATTGCTAAGCAGATAGTAATCATTAATCCGCATACGAACACACTAAAGTACAAAATAGTCGACAGCAACAATTGAAAGTGTAGGACCATTTTTACAGGTTTAAGGCGGACGAACTCGACTTAGATATTGCGAAAAACGATTCGAAATTCATTTAATGTAGAAATGCGAAACTCGTATAAGAAGGAGGCGTATCCCGTCACGAGAATGTTTACAAAGTCAACGAAATTTAATTGGCTCGTTCAAATTTATGTTTTGTTCTACGATAATAATTGTTTCCGGAGCGTTTTTATAACATTTCTGCGAGAAAGTTTTGAGATTTACGTCGCAACGGAGCGTAACTCACCTAAAACTTCCGGAAATGGGAAAGTCGCTTTCGAACGACGGTCGAATTCCGACATTATCGTCGATATATTTCCACCGACACCGTAACCTCCGTCCGCGTCGTGACATCGATTTGACGTCATTTTTATATTTTAATAATGAGAAAATGATGAAATGACGTCAAATCGACGCGAAAGTTTGCGTCGTTGTAATAGAACGATCGTGTCTTCAGTTCGGTTCGTAGTATATTATTGCCCGGGTAGAAGTCGAATCGTTTCCGATCGAACAATCAGAAGTCAGAACAGTTCGATATGTTAGATTGGGTCGTGTTTCATAAGTGATTAATTAATGTACTTTTTTAAATATAAAATTATAAGTTATAGTTTCTCATTTTTTAAAATATCGAATATGTTTAAAAATAGTAGGCTAATTAGATAACGAGAATTATATAAAATCGTTTTTAAAACATAAATACTGTATACTCACTATACAACATGGTCTTTCGCGTTGTACGGACCCACCGGTAGCCTAATGGATAAAAAACTTTTTTTTTTTCAATTTAGAAAATCTTTTCGGAAGAAGCAACCGTTACTGACAACAAGAAATATATTCCTAAAGAAATGGCTAAATTTTAAAAGCAAACAACTAAACGATTATCTATCTATCTATCTATATATACAGTATATATATACAGAGCCGGCCCTACCATACAGCGAACGGAGCAGCGGCTCCAGGCGCTAAGTCCTAGGGGGCGGCTCAGTGGTAAAGAAAATTAAAGGGTATAAATTAGGGGCAACCAAGGGGGCGCCATAATAGGATCTCGCTCCATCCTAAAACTTGCATCGGGCTGGCACTGTATATATATATATATGGACGTGTGTGTCCCTATATTTCACTTTTCAGCCAAAACTATACCTCGCAAATGAATGGTGTTTGTATTTGGTAGTAGCCCCGAGTCTCCATTCGTGCACTATGGTGGATGCATCTCGACAGCTATAAGGGTGCGGGAGATATGGGCTTGAAAGTGGTTGAAAGTGGAAGATTTTCTATTTTGATTTTAAAAATTTTCGTATTCGAATTCGAATTGGTTCGATTATAGAACGATTATAAACGTTCCAGAAAATTGATCAAATTGAAAATAGTTCGTTTGACTGGATGTAAAAATTCTCTAATTAGTCTGGAAACGGGGACCTAATTCTTGCATTCTGTGAAAAACGGGTAAGATTGGCTATAATGTAATTATCTTAATCTTCACTAGCGTTACTTTTTGCCCACAAATAAAAACCCAGCGAAGCCGGTCCTTGCAGCTAGTTATAAATATAATTCAAAATTTTCCCGGAGTACATACACGATTTTAAGACGCATTTTATTTATTCAAATAAAGATACTCCATCCGTCCACGGAAGCTGCGCGAGCTGTGTTTTCAAATCAAAATTTAAGCCATTTTGAAACTTATGAAAAATTACTTTGATTACATAAACCAACGATATATATAAATTTTTTAAAACTATTTTCACGCTTACATTATTTTAAATATAATACGTGACACTAATAAGTATGTAAGAATGCGTAACATACTTCATCGAAAGAAATCAAAGGCTGGCATATACGGTATTACGAAGTATAATAATAGAGGAGAAGGTGGTATTACGGAACACTGCGGGTATTACGGAACCACCCTATTTCGAACCGATAATAAAGGCGAACTGTAGCGGAATGTGACCGAACCGAACTAGGCAGACATCCATAGCCAGGGGAAAACCCGTTTTACTTCAGTTAAACGGTCGTCCGTATTTAATCAGCAAACTTGTTTTTTTCAAAAATCGCGAGTTTTGAATACTAAGCGAATTTAATTATTTTTAAAATATAAATCGCGTAGTTGTAGGTTCACCGGTGCGCGTATTCCGTTCCAGAGACTTAGGGATACGTATTAATCCGCGCGATTCTCACGTTTTTAAAGTTTGGTGCCGACAGGAATTAAGTTAACCCAAGACGTAGACGCGCGAAATACGGACCCCATCGGCGCTTTTAATACGGAACCCAACTCCCCCGGTGTTCGGTATTACCAACAAATTCAAACCATAAAATAATGTTTTAAAGTTTTATTTTATTTACGAAAACATTTTTTTAATTTAAATACTATCTTAACAAGAAATAAAATGTAAGATAACAATCGAAATTTTCATTTTTTTCACGAAAAAAATATCGTCTGCTTACAAAATAGCGAAACNATATTAATCTGTGCGATTTTCACGTTTTTAAAGTTTGGTGCCGACAGGAATTAAGTTAACCCAAGACGAAGATACTGAAATACGGACCCCATCGGTGCTTTTAATACGGAACCCAACTCCCCCGGTGTTCGGTATTACCAACAAATTCAAACCATAAAATAATGTTTTTACGTTTTATTTTATTTACGAAAACATTTTTTTAATTTAAATACTATCTTAACAAGAAATAAAATGTAAGATAACAATCGAAATTTTCATTTTTTTCACGAAAAAAATATCGTCTGCTTACAAAATAGCGAAACTGAGCATGCGCGAAGTGACAGCATCGTCTGGTAAAGTAAATGGTCTACAAGTAAGTTGAAACTTTTACGTTTATTTATTTGAAAAATAACAATAAATGTATTTAGTTAATATTCATAATACCGCCTTCTCCTCTAATAATTTAGTTAATATTCGTGTTAATAATAATAATATTCTTTATTATTATTATTATTAAATCATTTTTGCGTTAAAATACATTGGAGTAAATGATTTTGTAATTAACATTTTTTGTACTTTCCTATTTGTTTTTGGCTACATTAAAGCATTTTTTGAAAATATACAGTAAGGTTCCATATTACCACCCGATTTTCTCTAAGCCTACTTTCGGACTTTTTGTACAAAAGCCTTCAAAAACCATACTTGTAGTTACACTAACGAAAAATCCAATTAGGAACATTTAGTTTAATAGTTACAAGTACTTTTTGCACAAAAAATGTGGGTGTAGTTATGCTACCTTGTTTACAATTCACTAAAATGTAATTGGGGTTCCATAATACCACCTTCTCCTCTATGTATTTGCGATATTCATTTTCCGCTACGGGCGCTACGGTAAGTCTCGGCCAATGCGTTCCCGCGGCTAAAAGCGTAACTTATCCGTGGATGCTACGCACAAAAATATCGTATAACGCTTCCGATGATTCTTCCCTATCGTCGCGCCACTGATCTGTATCCTATTATCATTCGAGCAACCAATACGTCTTAAACGTAACTTAAATCTTTACAATGTTTTAAGATTTGGCACTCGTCCCAGTCTGACAGCGTACTTAAATGCCACCCGACTTTAAGCGCTTCGTTATATTCCAGTCTGTGATCAAAATTTAAAGTTTGTTTGTTTTGTTAATTAAGGTACGGCAACGCGAACTCGAACGATCCGCCTGGGGCAGGGGTCGGCAACCTGCGGCTCGCGAGCCACAAGCGGCTCTTTGGATGTGAAGCTGCGGCTCTTTAGTTCCATACGCAAATATTATTTATTTTATCAAAAAACAACAACATTTAAAAATCGTTCTGAATCGATTAACGAGGATTAGGCACCGATTCTATCTCTCAGCCACTTGTACTCGCTTTTCACCGTACCTTTCCCCCGTGACACGCGTCGTCACTATCGTCAGTCCGTCGGAAGCTCTCGAATGACGCCGTCGTCGGATGTTTCTATTATCTAATTTGTTGTGAAAAACACTACTTATATATGAATAAATAGATAGTTTTTTTTTTATCAAAAAACTTTATTTATGCGAGTACTATTTATTGTTGGCAAGAAAAAATTTTGTGGCTCTTTAAAAACTTTGAAATTTTGTAAATTGTAATTTTGGCTCTTCCGACTCAAAAGGTTGCCGACCCCTGGCCTAGGGGATGCCTCCCGGAAGAAGCGGAGAAAACCCGGAAAACTCCACGTGGCCGGCCCGTCCCGGCCTAGGCGCAAACCCGCCGCCGAACTCCCGGTGTTCGGGGAACGAAACCGCTCGGCCACTGTTGGGCCGAAATTTAAAGTAACCTCCCGATCACTAAAAACGATTTTTTGCAAATGTGTACAACTCGGCAAGCCCGACGTCGCGACGAAGACGGAAATTTTCTCGCGTGCCATAAAGTTATAAAAAGCCATTGCGAGAGTGATATTCCGGGTGGTTATCCAGCGGACGACGTCGGTATTGGTTGGTCATTCGCCATGTATCCAGTATGGCGAGAAGTTTGAAGATTTAAAAATTACCCGATTTAGTAATAAGACAGCGGTTTGAAATACAAAATGAAATATTTATGAATTCACACGCGGTGGAGAAAATCCGTCCAGAATATTCGTTATCGTTTTACTAGAATGGGGCTACGTAGGAAACTGCTATATCGTTATCATACAAAAGTATTTATAAAAGTTTATTTTCATCAAGCGATCATAATACAGAATAAATTCAAATTTAAAAAATATTTTGTTGAACTTTCTCGAAATCTTATATTTTTAAAAATTAACAAAGTTTCCGCAGACAATTGACGCGCGACAACAATATCTTTGTTTTTCGATTGTCATATCGAAGCGATTTGTTTTGTTGCCGCGTTTTCGAGCGATTTTAGAGAAAGATGAGTCGAAAGACGAAATGTTTTAGGAGATGGATTGGTAGGATCTTCCTACGAAGACCTCCAATTCGAGAGAGGTGTGAGCGGAGAGTGGAAGAGAGAAATGATTCTCCACAGAATGCAGACGTCAGCGGGCTTCCGGCAGAATCGTCGGAATATCCAAAAGGATTCAGAAGTTGGGGACTACCGCCAGAGTCCTCGGAAATTCAAAAGGATCGAGACGTCGGTGGGCTTCCTTCGGGGTCCTCGAAGCATCGTCCCGAACTTATAGAGAGGGACAACCCCGAGATATATTGGGACCAGACGAAGAAGGCTTTCGTTAAGTTCGAAAAGAAGTTGGAGGTCGAAGCAAATTTCCAGCGCGCAATGTTCGAAGGTCCTCCGCAAAGTAAGAAGTTCGAGATAAACCGGAACTTCCCTTCTTGTTGCTTCGGAAGGATCTAGAAATCAAAAACTCGTTTCTCTTACCAACGACGTTTGGAGTAATTGCTACTTTGACAGATTACGCATTCGCTTAATTCGTTTCATTCATTGACGAAATATTTAAACTCAAATTTAATTTTACAGTCCTGGTATGAGGGTTGCTAGTATGACCGAAGCCGAAAAGGAATTTAAGGAATTTCATAAACAATTTTCCGGTTTATTTGAGAGAATGAACGGAAACCTATAAAACTATGGGACGGATCTCGGTCGTTAGTCGTGAAAGGGAGATTATATAACCGATCTGCGTCGTAAATCTCGGATTGGATAATAATACCCGCATTTGAGGAATACCCGGGATGTGACAGTTTACCTCGGATTCCAATTTAAATCACGGATGTGACGGAAGGATGATTCGTAAATGAACTTAATTCGAATGAAAGAAGCCGAAGTCACTCCCGATGATTGTTGTGAAAAGATTGCGAGAGTGGTGTATTTTATCGTCATTACGATTTAACATTGGTCAACGAAGCGATCTTAATAACGTTTCAAATAAGCGGTAAATCACGAATATTTATTTACTCGATTCTCATATTGTATCTACAGTAATTGTATTTATGTATTAATAATATGTGAATCAATTTATAAGTGCATTTATTTCATTTAGGTTTCGTTCGTAGTTACATTAATAAATGTGTTATTCGGAGATCTTTGCTTTTATCGGCAAATTCTCGTTTGGATGTTTAATATTTTAAGTATTATAAAAGATTTTTACGTGTAAGCTATTTAGAGCACGTAATATTTCACGAAATGAAGATTTTTTGATAGATAACACTAAGAAGAGAAACATAATTTAAAGTTACTTTAAAATTAAAATTGGACGTAGGCTAATGGACAATGAACAAAACGCGGGAATAAGACTCGAAGTCGCCAATTAAACTGTTTAAAAACATTTATTTCGATTCAAAATTTGGCCAAATTAAACGAGCGTAAATATTTAAATTCTACTCGTCGTAAGTCACTTCGTACGCTCTGTTAGTACAGGATCGGAAGACTTTTTCAGACTGTTTATTTTCCCATTTAATTGTAAATTTATCAGCCTAAAATGAGATTTTCAACGGTTATATCAATTGTGTGATATTTTTAATGCCGATAAGGAGCCGTTCATTAATTACGCGCGCAGTTTTGATCCATTTTTGACCCATACTTTGCTATTGCGTACTTTTAGCAAATCTCTCCCGTTTAACTACGGTTTACGTGTACGATAGCACCCCCTACATTGAAATGACTAAAACTTCTAANACGCGACCAAGTCCAACCCGAGACTTTTTTAGTTATAGGTGCCTTCACGCGCGCCAGATTATCGCGTGACGAGTATATATTTTATAAGAGCAAGTTCGTATCCCACTAATACTACTAAAAATGTCTACGTAGACAATTCCTCGACGGCTTCCCTGTCCGCCGTGTACAATAACGTAATTTTTGCTACACCTCTCCCTTTTAAACTGTATACGCAATTAATAAACGGCTGGTTAAATTATTTTTAAAATTTACTAATCTCACCTTAGGTTTAGTTTTCACACAAGCGATTACCTAAAAAATTTAAAAATTGAAGCATTCAATTTCGTATTAAAAATTAATTTAAATATTAAGTTACTTACTTTGGATTTTACAGCGCTGTTGCCACACAAATAAAACATAATTCCCTTTCCTTTACTTTCGATTCCGAATAAATCGTAAACGCAATTAGCGATGTTAGTGTATAACTATAGCAAATATACAAATACAATTATTGACTTAACAATACGTTTAAAATTATAATTGCCATAATACTTGCATTTTTGTAATAATTAGGAAGTTTTCTGAGAGAACATTTCCAGTATATTTCGATCCACTTTGTCGGTTTAGCTACGTAATAAATTAGGCTAATATTATTAAATATACCCGCAGATTTTAACGTATTAACCGCTTTATGCTGTACGTACCGCAAAGTTCCGTCATACTGGACAAAGAAAAAATAGCATCGAAGGATATACAAAATAAAGCCAAAGCTAAAATTATCTTCATTTTCGTAGATGTTTGTAGGCTAACTGACGAAAGCCGAATAAACTAATGAATGTAAAGACACGGGTTTTTCTGTTACGATTTCCTGTTCTTATTTCCTGCTAAATTTCTGTTGGAAAAATATAATTTTGCTTCTAATTAATAGTTTCCTGTTTAATATTTTATCAACAAACTGGTGTAGGAATAATCGAGGAAATCCTTCGAAGATTAACGTTTCTATAAAGTTCTGTCGATTAAAATACTGTACTACCAATTTTTATTTTAAACTGAATTAAAAATGAACTAACGCGCGGCGATAATAACATAGAATAAAAATTTACTTTTATTATCACAATTCGGCTTTAAGTATACAGAAAATATGCGAATCAATTTTTAACATTTAATAAATTTAAGGGCCCGTTGCTGACTCCGAGATGTATTGAGAACAATTATACAAAATAAAAAGTACTTAGAAGATTGCGTGGAGGATTTGAACATCATACTTTTTTACTCCGATGCTTGCAATAAATGGGAAATTTGCATTATTTATATTAAAACAAAATTATTATTTATTTAATCAATAACTTAAGGTTTGTCACGTATATAGACACGCGAAATCCTTTATCCATTTTGGCATTTTAATTTCCACATAGGAACCCATTTGTTAAGAGTCAGAGACGAAGGACACGTTCCGCACCACATTTCGGTTTTCATTCTGTAAAAGTACAGTACGTGTGTAACTACAATCAATTCATTCAATTTAAAATAAAAAAAAATATTAAACTATTTTTTAATTTCAAATTCTTGCTAATCCTAACGTGTATTTCGAAAGATTCGCGTATAGAAATCCGCACAAATTATACGATAATATAAAATTACCGAGCAATCATTTTTTGTGACGCATAGCCGTGTCGGGCTGCAATTTTTAATCATATTTTTAATTTATTTAATTTAAATTATATGCTCTCCATCTCGAATTAGTAGTTTCTTGCCCCTGTACGGTACATCATACTTTCTTTATAACAATAGAGTCGTTCTAGTCATTTATCTCACTCCTTTCGGGGGAAAAATTCGAATTGAAATATCGTATAGTTTGTTAATCGAGGTTTCCCGTCACTACGTTTTCCATACTTCGTCCGTGTCACCCCTTCTCGAGATTAAGGAAGGATAAACGGGGGAAATTTATAGGTCTACAATTTTTTCAAATTGCGGCCCAATAATAGAGAACGGGAGCGGTAGCGTAACTAGAAATGATATTGGAGACCCGAATTAGAACGTGAAAACCTATCTATACCCCTTTACTACCGTAAATATTACTAGTAGCGCTGTGGATGAAGAGTAAACCCCGAAATAAACAATTGTACAGTAGATATATCAGTAATCTATCGTACGGTACAACATAAAGGCTACATATATAGATGAGCGTTTATCACATACAACTGTTTTCCCGTATTTATTTTATTTATTTCTTCATTTATTTATTTACAAAAAGTAAGGGGTCCGGGCTCTCTGTCATTCCCGGTTACCCTACTTATACCGGAATAAGAATTCTACACAAACGAAATAATCAATTATTGAAGTTAAGACCATTTACAAAAATATACAATATTTTCGTGTCTTTTCTTTATCCATTAACACACACACACACAAAGAAAAGAAACTAATCAAAGTTTAAAATAGCGGGTTTCTGTCGGTATGTGTTTTTAATACTTTCTATTAAAACCACATAAGTAATTATTTACAAATCTACTTATAAAATATAAAAGAAATCATTAAATATCTAGCGCGCAATTGCGGTAAGCCTTCTAGTAACTACTAGATCAAACAAAATGTAAAAAATATGCTCACCTGTGAGTATATACTGTAATTGGAGTGATTCTAAAATATTTTACATTTAAGAAACGTTTCTGGCGTAGTATTTGGAAAGCATTCTGCCATTTTAACCAAACATCTTTAACATTTAACCGTCTGTTGTTGGTTACAAGAAACGAGTACATCACATCGGTGCGAAAAATGCCGTCTCTAGAGTAATTTACAACAATTTAAGAATTTCGAGCTATCTTAAATCTTAATGTATAATATTACGATTTAACTTACTTATTTATTAAGGTAATAGTTTCGAAATTGTCCGTAGTATCTCGAAGGACGAGGAGTAACTTTCCACCGCGGGACCTTCCACCGGCATCTCCTCCCAACTCGATTAATATTTGATATTGATGTACTAGAAACATTTGTCAAAAGTCGTATTTTAAAAATAATTGTATAGAAAAGATAAAAAGAAAACGCCGCCCTCGACTATAATTCAGATTTAATAGAGGAGAAGGTGGTATTATGGAACCCCAATTACATTTTAGTGAATTGTAAACAAGGTATCATAACTACACCCACATTTATGGAATTATGGTATTTATGGTATTATGGAACCCCAATTACATTTTAGTGAATTGTAAACAAGGTATCATAACTACACCCACATTTTTTGTGCAAAAAGTACTTGTAACTATTAAACTAAATGTTCTTAATTGGATCTTTCGCTAGTGTAACTATAAGTAAGGTTTTTGAAGGCTTTTGTACAAAAAGTCAGAAAGTGGGCTTCGGGTGGTAATACGGAACCTTACTGTATATTTTCAAAAAATGCTTTAATGTAGCCAAAAACAAATAGGAAAGTACAAAGAATGTTAAATAATTACAAAATTATTTACTGCAATGTATTTTATCGCAAAATAAGCTTTTATAATAGACAAATATGACCTCTATCAACAATACATATTCCAGCAGCTCTTTTTCGATATTCTTAGGAAGAATTGACTTTCTACCTAGTGTCTTTTTCACAAATTGCTCCGGACGAATGTCCGCTTGCAAAGAGAGAGTTAGGAGGAGTCGAGTTCCGTATTACTGTAAAAGCACTAATGGGGTCCGTATTTCACGCATCGCCATCTCGAATTAACTTACGTCTGTCAAGACCAAAATTTAAAAAACGTGAACATCACACAGATTAATGTGTACCCCTAAGTCTCTGGAACGGAATACGTGCACCAGTGAACCTACAACTTCACGATTTATATTTTAAAAATAATTAAATTCACTTAGCATTCAAAACTTGTGAATTTTGAAAAAACAAATTTGCCGATTAAATACGGACAACCGTTTAACCGAAGTAAAACGGGTTTTCCCCTGGCTACGGATGTCTGCCTAGTTCAGTTCGGCCACAATCTGCTACAGTTCGCCTTTATTATCGGTTCGAAATGGGGTGGTTCCATAATACCATCTTTTCCTCTATTATACGGTGTAATTAATAGGAATATAATATTCTGTAGTATGTAGCGTAGTTATGTAAATCTAATTCAATACGTAACAAATTAAATTTTAAATCGATATCTTCAATATATATTTGTATAGCATCGAACATACGACAATACGGTTTCTCGCTCCCGGTCTTCAGATAAAATATTTGGAAAGCCTTATGGGAAAGGTGTTCGTATTTATCAACGTGAAAACCCATAACGGAACAAGGATTCTCTTCGGTACAGATACATTTTCCAGCAGAAAAGTCGGGGTAACTGGAACAAGGAACTCCTACGAAACAATCCGGATATTTAATAATGGATTCTATGTAAAACTCGAAACTCGCGAAGTGATTACAGAAAAACGTCGACAAGAACACTGTAAATAGAGAATGGAAATTGGTCAATCATTTAACGCAATCAAAGCATCTGTAGTAATTTTCAATAATTTTAATTCGACCGTTAAAAGCGTCTTTTTGTTAACTTACATTCAAAAAAAGTACGAATATATATCTTCTCCGGAAATACTTTACAACTAGGATTATAATTTCCACCATTTGGGAAAAAGTCCAAGTGACCCAAAACTTCGTTTGTACCGATTCCTACAAGAGTTCAAACGGTAAATACGTAAAATTATGATTAACGGCATTCGTTTTACGATAAAATTATTAGCGGCGCACCTTGAAAAACGTTACTTCCGGCATTAGTATGAATATTATCGACCAAAAGAGCATCTTTCGCATCGAGCCGAACGGGAGAAGGAGCGTGGCGAAAGTACGGTCCAGCCGCATCTAGACCTGATTAAGTTGAAACTTTATTTAATTTAATATCGAATATGGTAAAAATCTATCTCGTAAATTGTATCGCTTTCGATAATTCGTGGAAATCTTTTCCGTTAGAAATAAACTAAAATATTAGAATAATCTCACCCGTTATTCTTCCCAGATATTTAATTCTTTTACCCGCGTAACCGGCGATATGAGCTCCTTGGCTGTGTCCTATAATATGAATCGACTGAGGTCGAATCCTCGTTATATTCTGCGGAAAGAAGACGATTAGTGACTTAAAAATTAACGATTAAACTAATAATATCTTCGTACCTGTAAGATTCGAATCAAAAATGCAATTTCGGCTCCAACCACTCTAGCGTTAGCGGCCGATAAACGATAAGAAATTAAGGATCCAAATATCCAATCCACTAAGATAACGTTGAAGTCGCCGACGGATAACAAGGCGTCTTTCACTCTCTATCGAAAATTTAAAAATTATTAACACTTCTATAGCCAATATCCAAATCCAGAATATTGATTTATATTATAATTTCGGGAGCGCGCTTTGTTCTTTGTTCGTTCGTCATTGGCCAAATGAATGAAAACGCAAATATCACTAATACGATGCTGGGCAGAAGTAATTAAGCGGTCCTAGCGCGGTGCAGATGTATGCGCGGTCTTTTATGTGTATTGTTTGTGGAACGATAAGTACTTTATCTCTCAGCCTTTCCGAGTATTAACTGAATTTTTTTTGTCATTGTATATATTTTGTATGTTGCGGGCATTTCGTACGGCTCTATTGTTATTTTCAAACAGATGAATACAGTAGAGCGTCGTTTATCCGAATCAATTGGGGACGGGGGTTGTTCGGATAACTTATTTTTCGGATAACCAATTATGTACCGAAAAATATATTAATTTATCCCGTGTTGAAATTTTTCTCCGTTGCGTGTCGCTTCGCGTTGAATTTTCGTCGATGTTAAGCCTAACGAAGACTATTCTATCATTAAAAATTATTTATTTTGTACAAACAAAATAAATATATTGAAAAATATAAGAACAATAAGAAATTATACTTCAGAAGTTAATTTAGTATCAAAAACGTAATATATTNCGTTGCGTGTCGCTTCGCGTTGAATTTTCGTCGATGTTAAGCCTAACGAAGACTATTGTATCGTTAAAAATTATTTTTTTATTTTATACGAACAAAATAAATATATTGAAAAATATAAAAACAATAAAAAATATACTTCAGAAGTTAATTTAGTATCAAAAACGTAAAATATTTGAGTAGCCGAAGACATAGCCAAAGATACAGCGCCACAGTACTGGCGAAAATTCAAATTAGTCGACTGGAATTCCTTCGGATAACCGACCTTCGGATAAACGACGCTCTACTGTAAATGGTAGAATATTTTTCTTTTCTCGTTCACTCAAAAAAGTTACGTTTCGCCAAATGTTATTACGAACGTCATTAAAATTTAAATAAATTCAATACTGTTATTTAAGAATTAGATTAAAATATTAATCTACGAATAGTTTAATATATTAACTCTAGACGTTCGAAATTAGAATGGTTGGAAATAGAAGGTGCAGTATTACGCGCGGGCGGATCTACGTAGGGACTAATGGAGCTTTAGCCCCGGGCCCCCGAGAGTCGAGGGCCCACAAAAATCGAATCGTCGTCGTAAATTTTTAATACTTTTTCCTTAACAACGAGCGCTTATCGCGTAGTAAAAAATAATTAATATTAATAATATAATAACATTTTTAAAATCTTTTTAACGAATTTTTTGAATAATATAATAATTTAAAATCCCAATTTAAAGATTCTTAATCTAACAAAAAATGGAGCCCATTGGACTCGAATAAGCCCTAGGCCCGAAAAGCCTAGATCCACCCCCGACTACACGCGACGATAATAGAGCTAGACGTCTTTTTCCGTGCCGGTGTTTATTTTCCCGTTTATTATCGCGGCGACATCGCTTCATTCAAAATATCTCGTAGTCGTGTCTGTGTAACGCGTACTTTATTGAATCTTACAGTCAAATCTGCTTCCGGTACGCCGACGCTACAACTTTCAAAAGTTTCCTTTACTCGCGTGTTTTTGCCGAGCATCCCGGTTTTACCAGTTGTTTTTATGGGAAATATAGCGTAAAATTACTATAAACATTTCTCATTTATCACGTAATTTGCACGTTAAAGTCAGAAACTTAAAGTATTTATATCTTTTAATATTTTAATATAATAAACAATATATCCGGATTGGTCAACACCTGGCACTCGAGGGAATTTTTGTTCGTACGTAAACCACTTAAAAAGTAATAATATCTGCTTAAAATTTGGAAATTGTAAAATGCGTTTACTAAATTCTCTAGTATCGGGACGTATCGCGATACAATCTCGAAAATATTGTATTAGATCGAAGTTAATTTATTTCGGAAGGATTATAAATCGTTCCTAATCGCCTCTTTAATAAATAGAATAACGATGTACTGTACTTACTCGCATCCAGGAAGTGGTGAAAGCGCTGTACATAAATCCGTGCACGATGAATTTAGTCGGCCGATTTCCGTCGAAATTCGACCTTTCGATGGTTTCGGGACGTTCCGCTTTTAAAACTTGAGCGCGTTTAGGATTTTGGCCGGTATACAAGAGAAACTTTGTACGAATCAACGCTCTGTCTACGGGTAAGAAACTAGTCGGACGATGAACGGCGTGAAAGAATGGTGGACCGTTGCTAAAACAGCCGAGCTTCTCCATGCATATAACGTTATTACCGATATTGACTAAAAAGAAATAAAATTGATAAAGCATTTAGGATAATTACTATTGGATTTAATCGAGAGTGCATCCGGAGTTTATTATTATTATTATGTTGGGTTTAGTGGGTTATACTCGGTACACACCGGTGGCTGTGTACTATGCCGGACCTGAGTCAAGGCATAGCAACCAAAACAAAACTAAAATTAAATAAGTGTGTCAATGTCTGTATTCAGGAATTTCCTAACAATATGGCGTGTATTCAATATAGTGGCCTTCTGTAGTGTGATGTATGTATTTCTACTCAATTGTAATGTTCCCAGGCTTTTGTGTAGCGTGTGTGGTATCACACCTGTACAGGAGAGAACGACAGGTACAATAAGCACCCTATCCATCCTCCACAGATGCCTGATTTCCTGGGCGAGTTCTGTATACTTGCTAATTTTTTCAGTGCACGTGTTTTGTACATTGTGAGTGTTTGGAATGGCTATTATTATTATTATTATTATTATTATTAACACGAGCTTCGTTATTTCTTTAAAGTAATAAGTTTTAAAAGAGCTATTTTATTTGCATTAGCGAAGCGTCGTAACTGCGCTGTACGGGATGTTAAATCCTATGTACAGTGTCAGCGCGGGCGGGCGAGGTTCGTTTACGCTAATTGTCGAGATTTCTTCTACGATCAGGGCCGTGCCGCGCTATGATGCAGAGATGCGGCCGCATCAGGCGGCACTGTGAGGGGACGACATAAAAAACATTTAAGGGGTAGAATTTCAAAGACTCGCATCATACTTTGAAAATCTACCGCACGGCCCCTGTCTACGGTTATACCCAACACGTTTGTCGTATATGCATTAAGAATCGCGAAAGAGTTAAATTCTGCAGTTTCCCCATCGTCGACCCGCTAGCGTAAGTGTCATTTGCGAAGATCCGTAAATCTAGTAATAAATACTGTATCACCGGCCACAGTATTTTGGATAGAAACACGTATTTTCTGCCAATTCGTGTAAAATTTAATGGTTAAAAAATGTTACGATTAATAAACAATAAAAATTAGAAAGTAAGTTCATCCAATCTTCGTAAAACGCAACTTGTGGAAGAATTGTCATCAAATATACAGAATACGCGTGCATTTGGGTTTGAAAACTGATATCAAATATGTTTCGTAATATTTTTTGAAATATATTACATTTTCTTTCGTTTAATTACCTCCGTATTATTGGATATAGGCCGATGTATTAGCCTATCTTGGAGGGGAGGCCGGTTTAATTTCGACGTGGTGGGTAGAACGGATCGGATTAAAGTATCGTTCATTTTCCACCATTCTTCGCATTGGCCCGACCCATTACAATTTGAACCGGTAACCGACGTAACTGTTTCGGTCTTATAGCCTAAATGTGACGACGTCGTTTCATTTAATCCATCGGCTTTTTTCTAACTGTTCATTAAAAATGGCCGAAATTATCGTCTAGCATTTTTAATGAACTATTTGAAATGTAGTTTGTACGTCGACCGCCACGTACTATCTGTTATATAAATTTAGTAGTAACCTACATAAAGTCGAATGAATTTTATGATTAAAAACAAATGTACTTTTTTTAATCTGTTTACAGTAATTTGAGCATTGACTTTACAATCCAAAGTACCAGTTACCGTTATTTAATGTTGGTTGTAAAATGCATCGTAAATATGCATTTAATTGATTTATCGTCGATTATATTATATTAAGGAAATGCCCTACTACTTACAACGAAATAAAATGAAATAAAGTGTAATATCTTATATTACAGACGGGATAATGAAAAAATAAATAATGCGAAAATATTTGCCTTAGAGAAGGAAATGTTTGCTAAATCCCAATGAGAGAACCGCGAGACAATAAAAGGGGAGAGAAAGAGAAATGTTACGCAATTTAATACTATATTTAGTTTATAACTTCGATTAAAGCTTACCGCAAAAATATCGGTAAAGTAGGAAGAAAAGTATATTTACAATTTTCGCTTACTAAAACTTATACACTAATTGGGAAAACATTGGAGAACGTCTTAAATTCCCCAACGTTAACTGATAAGACTGCGGCCGGCAGTTACAGCTATATATTTAAATAAAATATACGTTAATATGCCTTTTGGAAATTTCAGAAAAACAAGTTGTTATCCACATAACGGACTCGAAGGGTGACGATTTAAGAATTATTCATTTTTATCGTTTAAAAGAACATAATATTACGCGTCTAAATGTCGGCTCATTATATATAAAAATTAATGCGGATCAAAGATCCGATTATTGGGAATAATTTTGTTACAAGTTTTAATTCGGGTAAACGCGGTTAGAAGTTAGCGGCGGCAAATTTGCGTATAATAACTGACAATGTATCTTTAAAAAAAAATTTAACAACTTCTAACCCAGGGATTCCCAACCTTTTTCTCGAATTGACTGACTCCTACGTATGAAATTTTCTTTTCAATCGACCGCCATCGAGTAAGTTATTAAATCGGTTAATGACTTTCCCACCATTGTTGTTATTATTTAAAAATTATTCGAAAAAGTACAATATGTATCTATTTTTCCATCGACCCCGTTGGGAATCTCCGTTTCAACCTAAACTTTCTATATTCTAGTATCGGCGGCACACCCAGAGCCTCTGGGTGTGCCGACCGACTGACCGACGAACCTTGGCACCCTCCAAAGAAAAAAGAAAACAAACACGAGAACAATTTTTGGAAAACAGTGTTAGTTTTCCTTTTTCTGGGCGCGGAAAATTGGATCGATTGAAGTTTTATAACTAAGGGCGAGGCTCCTTAAACTCGGGTTGACTTACGCGCCATTTTAAGGTCACATCACTGTAGTAGTCCGTTGCCACGTGTTTGCTGTAATTTGTGAATTTTACTGCGAAATGGGTGATTGCGCAAACCATTCGAAATAGTTACTTGGTTTATTATTTAACGCCTTAGATTAGATTAAAAAGTAAAATAATAAAGATACTAAACAAATTTGATTTAAAAAAATACATACGGACTATCATAAATTATTATTGAACTCTTATGTAATTACTATTATTATTTTTTAAATGAAGTAATGAAATTTAATGAAATCCTTTTTAGTGTGATGGTAATTGACACTGCATTTTTATATTTATGTTATCATCTCGATATCCGTGTTTAATTAAATAATCGTGAGCTACTTACGTTGATATTTATATTCCGCAAAAATGTGAAATGTCTTTTTTCCATCAAATATAAAAAAGTTGTACGTTTACAGGTAAGTATTCTAATAAATATCGATATCTTGGCGGAAGAATAACGCGCTAAAACTTATAACTTTCATTATCACGAATAAATTTTGAAAATGACTCGGACATCTCTACGAAAGTAATAGCTTTGTACGTTTTAACACGTGTCCATTGCGTGGAGAGTTGGTTTAAAAATGGCGCGTAAGTCAACCCGGATTCTGGGAGCACTAGCCAAGTGTTTCCGTGGCCCAATAACCAAGGTAAAAAGTAGATAACAAGGATTAAAAGCTGCCATAAATAATACAGAACAGATTCTTTTTACCTCCGACTCATTAAGACAATAAAGTAAAAAATTATCTCCTCGTACTGCACGTAAATATTAATTTTACCTACGTTTTATTTAATATTATCTCGATTTACGTGCACAAAACCGGACCGAAAGTTTTTCTATTCGTGAAACGTACGTTACTTTTCGAGTTTAATACATCCCGACGTCACGTAAATCGGGATAACACCGTAATCGATAAATTAGCTTTTGTTAAACACTTAAATGAATTCGTACCTGTTAGATTAACTCCGGATTTGTTGTTAAACATCGACGGACGAAGATCGGAAAGAGAGGAAGGTAATGGAACAAGAAAGAAAAGCACAAGAATTATACTCGTTACAAACATCCTTACGTTAATCGGACTCTTCTCCTACGAGGCGTCGTTTATAAAGTAGGGTAAAATTCGTTATGAAATAAAACTTTCCATCCTTGAAAAACGGGACTTATTCGAGCGTACAGAGAGAAGTACCGGATTAATCCCTATCAGGAAATTTCCTACTTACATTAAAATTTTATCGCCTGGCAATTTACGCTGTGGCGTGAAGGATTGAGAGGTTCGTGGCGTAAATTGGAATTGAAAAAATTTCTCTTTTACTCGTTCCTCGAGCCGATAGCTATTTTTTAACGAAAGAAAATGCTAGTCCAGTCGGCCGCGGAGCTCGAGTAGCTGGACGCGTGTTCATTTTATTCCCATATGCTATTAGGTTTCTGCTGACAATGGTGCTAGTGTATTTACGGTGAAACATTCCACCGTAATAAAGCTTTCGAATTTTACATGTTAAAAAATTGCGCACTAACGGGAAAGATGAGAAAAACTAAGCTGCTAGAACATTTTGAAGTAGGTGTCTAGCGCGTACTATCATCACAATTAACTTTGAACCAAACGAATACCTTAAGTCGGTAAGATATTTTGAAAATATTGAATAGGTAGGATGATACTGTATTTTACAAAATATTGATTCGGGTTATTAGTGATAATGATACTGTTAAAGATTCTGACGGTGAAGACGATCGGGTGAGGTCAGATAGTATAATGGAAGTGTTAGGAATGACAGAAAGAGAGAACTTTAATTCACCTCTGAAGAGTATTCGGCGATGCTTCCGCTTTACGAGGAAATCCACCAACCACGAGTAAGGAAAAGATTGCGTGTAACATTCGGTTCCCGACGATGCCACTCTCAGTATTTTACGGTATGCTCGTTGAAGCTAGAATTAATGTCAGCATCCTTTACATACAAATCAGCCCGGTAGAGAAGCCAACTTTAAGTTTCCAGTTCCTCTACTACTTGGGTTTAACTTTGGTGAAGGGTGGGATGAGCCACCATTAAGAAATTAAAAATCTTCCACTCGTTCTGGAAATCACGAAACTCGATAATTCGATACGTAGTGCTGAAAAAACAAGCTGTTTGAAAAGAATGCACTTCTAGACAAGAAGGTGTCTCGTGTGTAAGTGACAAAAAATATAGTAGTGTTCTAAATATGAGAAGTATTTATGCAGTGAACATAGGTAAATAATACTTTCCAAGTATCAACAGATGTTTTTACTATTTATTACACTAGTTATCTGATGTTTGTCACACTTATTAAAAACAATGAACACAAAATGAACATTTTTTATTATAATAATAATTTTTTAATTTTCAATTATTTCATGGCTGTTTTTAAAATATATATACATGTATAAAATACACAAATAAAGTAATTAACATTTTATTTAAAAACCATAAAATATTAAATTAAATAATTCAATTCTGGGTGAATTTTCACCCATGATAGTAATCATCATTTAAAATGTGACAGTATTCCAGAGTTAAGGCACAATTTACAAGAATATATTCTGTAATATATTTTCTTTATCTCTATTCTTTTAAATTAATCTTTAGGATATATTTAAAATATATCCTAAAGATTAATTAAAAATTTTTTGACATTACTTTCAAAATATCAATAGTTTAATTTCAAAGTAATGTTGAAATTCCAAAGCCAATAGCAAATGGGGCAATGACATGTTTAATTAATTAAAAAGAAAAAAAAAATAATAAATACAAAACTCAATTCATTTAAAACACATTTAGTATCTAATTAAAAAAAGGTAAATAAATATAATAGATTTTTACAATTCCAAATATCTTAGTCTTTATTAACAGATGTATTTTATGATGAATGTCTTTACAAATATTTATATATTACAACATATACATATACTCCTTCATGAATGCCTCATTAACATTTTTAATTTTGAATGAAACTGTAACAATTGTGCACATCCATTTTCCAGTAGTTGCCTTAAAAAAAAATTTATATTAAATAAATCATTATTATTATTATTATTTATATTATAAATATTATGAAAAAGAAAGAAATAAACTTACTTATTTTCAGGCATTACAAAAAATTCTTTCAATGCATTAATAGTAAATCCAATTTTTGGTGGAGACATAGGAAACTAAAAATGAGATTATAATAAGTTTCCACACTAACTGGTATCATATAAATTATAAAATAACTAAATTCTTTACCTGTATACCGATGCCGTCCGTGTACGAATATAAAGCATCCTTCATGTCCGAAATTATTTTCCTATTTCCATTTGCTAATTCATTTGATGATATTAATCTGAAATAATAAAGAAAAAAGATTGTCTTATTATCAACATATAAACCACTGCCATTTGTTCACCTCTGAAAAAAGGCACTAAACTGAAGTACTTCTAGCAATAAAAAATTATATAAAATAATCAGGACTAAAAACAGAATCCTTACGAAATGATGTCAGTTTATAAGGATTTATTGTAAAATTGTAAAAGCAATTTCGACTAAACTGCAATAAATGATAGAATGCTTTGAAGTGCATAGTACCGAAATGTTAGAATTTTTGACCTGTTGGAAATCAAGTAAAATAAACTGTGAGTTTCTTTAACATTACGTCCATGAAACAAATGCTTTATTTTTAAGAATTTATTAGACTCTCTTCCAACTTAGATAATAAAATGAAAATTTGGTTAATGAAATAAAGACAATTAGTAGATGATTTTGAAATAGGTGCAGATGTGTGCCTGAAAGAGGAAAGTAAAAAGTGGAGTTTGGAAAATTCTAGAATGCCCTGAATGGCTTTGGAATAATTATAAGCAAAAAAATTGCTAAATTTAACCACATTACATAAAATTTTAAAAATGATCAATCAGGAATTTTGGCTGATTTAAAAGAAGTTGAAAATGTCAACACCAATGCATTGCTAACAAAGGTTGTTTCCTAATGTGTCAGTAATTATTAAAACCAAATAACAAATCTGACAACATTCATCATTCTAAAATACACGCATAAAAGATTCAAAAATAGAAAAGTCAGAGTTTTCTTCTGCACTGAAAGAATTTCTAGAGTTAGAAAAATTCCTTTGTAAATAGTCAAGTGATAATGTTATAATTCAAGTCAATGTATTGCTATAGATCAGTGGTTCCCAATTAGTTTTTCCTGTGTACCACTTCAAGAAAGAGCTCAAACTCGCATACCCCTTATAGCAGAAATTCATATTAATCCATACTATTATAATAAATTCGAAGGTAATTCTGTCTGTCCGTCACCTTTTCACGTCTAAACCCCCAAACAGGTTTTAATAAAATTTGGCACAGAGATAGCTTACATGTTGAAGATGGACACGGGCTACATTTTACTGCGAGAAAATATCTTACTCCCACAAGAAAATTCGATATAGTGCAGGCGAAGCTATGGGTAGACAGCAAGTGATAAATAGAATAGGTTTTTTTTACATTTATTACCTTTAAAATACAATTCTAATAATAATGAAAACAACATAAGGTTATTTAACTTTAATGTGACAAATGTGCATGATTTTCTTTGCACAACTTTGTAAAATCTGGTTGCTTTTTGGTTAGCTTCAGTCTTAAGTCATTTTCAAGTTGAAGTCGGTGACAATGTTTAGTTTTCATGTTTGTCATGGCCAAAAATCCACTCTCGCAGAGGTACGTTGTGCAAAATGGTAGTAAATATTTTATTGCTGCTTCGCTGACACGATGATAATGATAACTGTACGATTTTTGTTTCTTGCGTAAGAATTTCATTTAGGTATTGTCACAAATGCATTTTTTAAATGAAATTTCAAGAATATTTTTAGTTATAAATAAACGAATTTGTGCATTCGACATCATGTTATAAACTGCCAAATTTTTGATGATCCACCATTATTTTTTTGATTGCTTCATCTCGTGCATTTAAATTTTAAATCGACCGATTTTAGATTGCCGTGTGTACCTCTTAATGCAATTTCGTGTACCCCAGGGGTACGCATATCACTAATTGGGAACGATTGCTATAGATGAATAAAACTAGCTTTCATCAAATGATACAGAATTTTTATTAAATAATAAAGAAGAAAACTATGATATCACTAATCACATATCTAAATTCCTTGAATATTTTGAAATTATTTTTTAAGCTAATGTTTAATTATTTAAATTATAGAACATGTATTTCAAAAAACTGGGTACTTAATTTGGTGAGGTTTTATAGAACATGATCTAAAAGTAAGAATATATTTTGTTCAGATTTTTAGAAATTTATTTTTATTATTAAAAAAAATTTACTGAATTCAAAGTTATTTATCTTTAAAATGGAAACTTACATCCTCATTTTCTCAGACAAAACACCTATTTTCTCATTCACTTTTGGAAGAATGCTGCTAATGAATGTTTCAGATGGTAATATTTGTGGCTTAGCATAAACAATTCCATGATTTGCATAGTGTAATACATCAGCAAAAAGTCCACTAAAAAATTAAATATATATTAATTAATTAATTTATTTATTTATTGGAATAACTGAATTTTGTTTTCCATTAATATTAACATAAAGTTTTTAAAAATTTACCATGTATAATTAATACAGTCCCAGACGTAATCAAATGTTGCAATAATTGCACTACGATCTTCAGTGACAGTATGAAGCTTTGGACTGAAATGAAATGAAAATCATTATTTTACAACTTAAGCATTTCTATAAAATTCACACAGCATGTTATAAACTAAACTGCTTGTAAAACATGAAAAGTAATTTTAAAATAATGATACTTAATTTTTTGATAGTTAATCATTATCAGATAAATATAGGAACCATAAGTATGCAACAGTAAAATTACTTTTAATTCCCAAGTATTTTTCAAATGAAACAGAATTTCTGCTAAATTAAATAGCCATAGGAATATAAAAATATTCTCTATCCATTACTTTGTACTTCTTACAAGAATCCAAAGTAATGAATTTTCTTTTTCAAAAGAATTCACTACTTGTTACTCTCAGAATTGACAGAGCAAAGGGAGTATAACAAATAAATGTTTATCATCATTTATATTGTCACATATGATCAACAGTTATATTTAATNTCAGATTTGACCCGGACTTGCCCCAGACAATCCGTCTTGAATTTGCCAAAAGTAATACAAAAGTTAGCAAACCAAAACAACAATCGCCTCCTATAGCAGAAGCAGCAAAGCAAGATTTGCAAGTAAGAAAATAATAAAATATTTAAGGAATAATTAAAAAATAATTGCGATAAATATAAAAATTAGAGAAATTGTTCGAAATTTCCAGCAAGGAGTCAGATTTGACCCGGACTTGCCCCAGACAATCCGTCTTGAATTTGCCAAAAGTAATACAAAAGTTAGCAAACCAAAACAACAATCGCCTCCTATAGCAGCAACACATCCAACTCTCTTACATCCAATAACAGGCCGTAAGTATGTCTGCTCCCCTAACTACTAGCTCCCTCTGTTGTTCAAATAGTTAACTATTCAACATAAATTAAAACTTATTTATTTATTTTTACATGTAAATAGAAAAGTCTGAAGGACAGTTGATATCTAACCTGCAAAAAAAACATTACACAAAATAAAAAATTGTAGAATGCACTTTACATTTTAATTTAAAACAAGAAAGTTAAGAAATAAAAAAAAAAATCATCAAAATTATTTAATTTCAAGAAATTTGATAACAAAGATACATTCAAATGAAAAAATAAAGTGAACATACAAGATGAAGGTCTGGTTTTTCAAAGAGACTGTAAAAATAATCTAGCTTTTTAACAATTTAAAAAGCTATATTCAATAAACAAAACTTTATACATTAATCTAATTTATTTTTAATATCCTACTTCAGTATCTATTGATTTCAGGAATTATAAGTTTTAATAACCTTTTTGCCCTAGACAGTAAGAGTATAGACACATTTTGTATAATCATTATGAATGAGTTAAATCAAGTCAATGCAAGACAAGACAAGGCAATATGACAAATAAAAATGTTTATGCTTTATAGATTTTCAAGTTAATATCTGAAAAATTCCTGAGGACACAAACCAGACACAAAAATGAGTTTTTAAGAGTGTCAACACTAACAGACTATCATCAGAGATTAACATGTTCATTGTATTAATTAACCCATCATCAGTATTCTTTATATTAAATTGTTAATTATCAATATTCTGCAGCTTTTGCTTCAACTTTTCCAAATCATATAATATAATTGAGATGGGTTGATGATGATAATAACAATAACAGCAGCACCAGCCCAAGAATGGCTACTGCAATGCCCTCAACAGATGTGAGGAATCAACCTAGCCTTGGTGTTTCTGTGGCAATGCCTCCACAGACCACAAAGGCTGGAAAACCACATCAACGGATAAAATGAACATCAGAAATAAACGAGTTTATCATCCGCACTTACTATGCAATCACAAAACTAGAAAAAAACATGACAGCATACAGACAACAACTACACCATAGATTCACACAACAATATCCTCACCACACTGTCACCAAACAAAAGGTTGTCGATAAAAAAAACAAAACAATTATACACAACAACCTTATCCCACAAACAACACTTGAACTTATCAAACAACAGGTTGCTGATCAAATACATCAACAGACAGAAATATTTAACATTATTAATGAAGATCACTTAACCTATCAGGATAATCCAGCAACAAGCATTGATAATAGCACACATACAACAACTACCACTAATGATACTACAGGCATTTCCTCATCCATCACTAATAACATAGACATAGAATTAGTTAATACGCTCTCACTTATATTTCAGGAAACACTCACTAAATATACAGGCACAGATCCCACACAAAGACCACGAATACCGAAAATCAACACGTCAAAGGTAGTAGGGAAAACACTAAATTATGTAAACACTCACTTACTACCAAACTACATTCATTCAATTTCTACACTATCAGACATTCATACATTAGTTTATGCTGGGGCAGTCACAGTAGTAACACACCATGGACTGAAAATACAATCGCAGACAAACACACACAAAACACAATTCTATCACAAGCCTGCCTGGCAGAGAAGAATAGAAACACAAATAAATGACATTAGACAGCAATTAGGCAGGCTGACAATACAACACCCAAATTAAAGAAACAACTCAAAAACATTTTCAAGAAAATCAAAACATGCACAAAACACGAACATCACAACACACACATTACAGAATACATCGATACACTAAAACAAAAACTCGCAGCCAAAGCACGTAGACTCAAACGATAAAAAACATGTACACTACGAAAACAACAAAATAAATTATTTGCAAACAACGAAAAACTTTTCTACAGACAAATCAGAACAAACACTGACACACAGCACAGTGGCACACCAACAGAAGAAAAACTCACAACTTATTGATCATCTCTTTGGTCCAATGCTGTTACACACAATGCTGATGCAGGTTGGATCGAAGAGGAGAACAGAAACTTGCACAATATACCAACTATGCCCTGTGCTGAAATAAACATGCACAACATTCGCTACGCCGTTAACAGAACACACAACTGGAAGACACCTGGTGTAGACAACATTCACAATTTCTGGTAAAAAAGTTTACATCACTGCACCAGGAACTAGCTAAACATCTAACACACATCATCATCAATCCACAAGACATGCCAAAATTTCTTACTCGGGGCATCACCTACATGAAACATAAAAACAACACCACAGACTCCACACAATATAGACCAATTACATGTCTTCCAACACTCTACAAATTATTGACATCCTGAATCACAAACAAAATATACAAACATGTTGAAGAACACAACATTCTTACAGAACAACAGAAAGGTTGCCGTAGAAATCACAGGGATGCATAGAACAGTTACTCATAGATTCAGTCATTCTATGGCAAGAACATAAACAACACAGAAACATACACATGGCATATATAGACTACAGAAAAGCATTCGACAGTGTTCCACACAGTTGGGTGTTACAAATTCTACACATGTACAAAATACATCCATCACTCATTGCATTCTTCCAAAACACTATGAAGCACTGGAAAACAACACTACATCTCAGGGTTAGTAACACTTTCATACAAACAAATGAAATATTCATTAGGCGAGGAATTTTTCAAGGAGATTCCTTGAGTCCTCTCTGAACCCATTATCCAACAAGTTAAACAACACACAATATGGCTACAATATCAGACGTGAAAAAACAACACAGTTTACACTGTCACATCTCATGTACATGGACGACATAAAACTTTATGCATCCACACAAAAACAACTTCATCAACTCCTACAAATCACACACTCATACACTATGGACATACAAATCTAGTTTGGCTTAGACAAATGCAAAACATTTCAAATAGAAATAGGAATCCTGAAGAAAGAAGATTTTGCACTTGGAAATGGGGACATTACTGAATCCATGGAAGAGGGTGAGCTCTACAAGTATTTAGGATTCCAACAGGCCAAACTAACAGAACATACAAAAATAAAGCAAAGATTAATTAAAGAATACCAAAGTAGGTTAAATGCTATTCTCAGAACACAGTTAAAGCAATAAGCACATATGTCATCCCTGTACTCACATACTCTTTTGGAGTTATACATTGGACTCACATAGATCTCGAGCAACTCCAAAGGAAAACAAGAACAACACTTACTAAGCATAAACATCATCATCCTAAATCNAATGCAAAACACACAGTTAAAGCAATAAGCACATATGTCATCCCTGTACTCACATACTCTTTTGGAGTTATACATTGGACTCACATAGATCTCGAGCAACTCCAAAGGAAAACAAGAACAACACTTACTAAGCATAAACATCATCATCCTAAATCTGTCATAAAAAGATTAATCCTTCCACTTAAAGATGGCGGACGTGGTCTGATCGACATAGTTAACCTTTACTACAAACAAATACAGTCACTGCGAAAGTTTTTTCTTACAAAAATTAAGAAACATCACAGTAACATAAAGCAGTAACTCTAGCAGACTTAAATAACACAACATTAAACTTACATTCACAGCATATAAAAAGCATAGACACCATTAAGCAATCGTGGGTTCAAAAGGCAGACATCCCTACAAACTGACCCAGGATTTTGTTGACAAAACTGTGTCAAACAGCTGGTTAGATCGGGGATGCCTCTTTGGGGAGACGGAAGGATTCATGATTGCCATACAGGATCAGGTCATAAATACTAAAAACTACAGAAAACACATACTCAAAGATACAACACTCACAAATGACACATGCAGAAAATGTCACATCATGCCAGAAACTATACTATACAACACATCACTTCTTGTTGCAAGCTCTTGACACACAATTATTTACATAGACATAATCAAGTAGCAAATATAATACACCAAGAGCTTGCAAACACACACAAATTATTAGACATCAACAAACCATACTACAAGTATATTCCACAGACAGTATTGGAAAACAACACGCACAAAATGTATTATGACAGAGCTATAATCACAGATAAAACAATTTACCACAACAGACCAGACATCACACTCATTGACAAACACAATAAAATCACATACATTATAGACANATTCCACAGACAGTATTGGAAAATAACACGCACAAAATGTACTACGACAGAGCCATAATCACAGATAAAACAATTTACCACAACAGACCAGACATCACACTCATTGACAAACACAATAAAATCACATACATTATAGACATAGCCATTCCAAACTCTCATAATATACAAAACATATGCACTGAAAAAATTAGCAAGTACACAGAACTCGCTCAAGAAATAAGGCATCTGTGAAGGATGGATAGGGTGGTTATTGTACCTGTTGTTCTCTCCTCTATAGGTGTCACATTATAATTGCCACACTACACAAAAGCCTGGGCACATTACAATTGAATAGAAACACATACATCAAACTACAAAAGGCCACTATATTGAATACATGTCATATTGTTAGGAAATATAAGTACAGAGCCCAAACAGGAGTTGAAAGTTGAAATTTGGTACACAGTTAGGGTACGTTATAAAAATGTACTGTACACGAAGAAGGGAATTTTTGAAATTTTCCCCCGCTGGGGAGAGGGAGAGAATTAAGGCTTATCCTAAAAGCTTCTACTCTACTATTTTAGATGCAATTTTTTATTTTTAATTGTGTTTTAGTAGGGTATGCCATGAAATGCACATTAAGAAGGAATTTTTGAAAATTCAACTCTCGAGGGAAGAGGAGAGTTTTAATCAGTGTAAAATGTATATAATAAAGATAACTTACTTGCCTGAGCAACGCTGGGATCATCTGCTAGTAATATAGTATTGAACTTTAATTTTATGCTGGTTGTTGGTAATTACATATTTTATTGATAGATTTTATAACAAATATTTAAATTGGGATTCTAAATCCATTTACCCTCATAAAATTTCATTCTTTTGTATGAAATTCTTTTTTGGGCTGCAATTTGAAAAAATTGTAGGCCTATAAATTCCTACTGTCATCTGTCGTTCCTTAATCTTGAGAACAGAGTTAGTTAGATAAAAGACAAAACTAGATATAGAAACCTTAGAGACAGGTAGCCCCGATTAACTATAATACAAACTTCCAATGCAAACCAGAAGTCATATTATTTCAATTCAAAAAATTTTCCCCTGAAAAGCTGTTAGATAGATGACTGGCATGACCCTATTGTTAAAGGAAAAGTATGATGTATAGGCGCAAGCCACTACCAATTTAAGATGCAGAGCATATGTTTTAAATGAAATAAATTTTAAAAAAAAATTAATAATTGCAGCCCACCATTGTGACGATGTTACAATAATCTATTTTTGCTTTCTTTAAGTTTTTTCATGTCCTGAGCTATATTACTTACTGATGTGACTTCTTTTTGTAACAGTCATTAGTAATTATTTCCAATTTCTTTTTATAATTTTCCCATTTCTTGTGCATACTTATCACTTGCTTAGTTTTATTAACCTTTATTATTGCCAAATTGTTTTGATCCAAAACTTATTCAACATATTTGATTTCTTGCATATACTTATTATATCTATTGCCAAATACATTATAATAATTCATTTTCATATATAGTTTTAAAATTTTACTAAATAATAATTGTAATTTTTTTTATTACTTTTGATTAATGATAATCAAATTACTTATACAAACTTATTTTTTTTTCACACATGGGTCTATTATAATCAAGATACTTAGCTAATATTTTCATTACTTTTTCATCTCTTCTATTATTGATATTATAAAAATGTTATTCAACATAAAAAAAACTATTAAAGGAAGAAAAAACAGAAATGTTCATACAAAGAGAATATAATTTTATTATAATGAATGACTAAGTTAAATATTCATTATAAAATCCATAAATCTGGTGAAAAATTCCAGCCATTAGTCGATTTTAGAAGTTCATTATCTTATATTAGAGAGTTTGCAGCCAAAGTTCTCAACATGAAAACATGTACATTGAATGTTCAGCACTGCTTTCCTCTAAGTCTAGAAGTTTGACAATGACCTTTGGAATGTTGAGCATGATTCCACTGACTTTCCAAACACCATTGTCAAACTTCTACGCTTACAGGAAACCGGCGCTGAATGTCTGATGTACACGTTTTCATGTTGAAAACTTCGACCGCAAACTCTCTATTAATAATTTGGAAAAGTTGTTAAAAGCTAGAAAATATTGATAACTGAAAACTTTGTATACAGAGAATAATATCAATTTATATGTATTTGAAGTATATATTGCAAAATAATAAAAAAAAAATTGAGAAAATAAGTTTAATAACTGAGATGAAATTTTGCTGGTGTGACAAAAAAATCCTTTCACTCGATTATGCAATGCATGACTGGATCCTTTCTCAGAAAACATCCAGTCATGCATTGCACAATCAAGTGATATTAATGTTAAACATTTCAAATACAGTTAGCTCTCGGTTTACGCTGCAGTTCCATTCCTACAAAAGCCGGCATGAATCGAATTGGCGTAAAACGAACCCATATTTACAGTGAGGTATAGGGTTAGATTCTATGTAAGTGAAAAATAAGCAAATAATTTTTTTATTAATACAATATAATACAAAATACATATATTATAAATTTAATTTTAAAAAATGTATTTTATGATAAAATAAAACAAAATGTTTTTATTAAAAAATATTAATAAAAACAAATTATATTTCAAAGTTTTGGATCTCTTACATTTTTCGGAAAAAAGTATCCAATTGTAATTGTTTAGATTTTTGTTTTCTTTCATTAATAATTGTGGAATATGGTCAAATGGATGAGATAATGCTCCTTTTTACATTTGCACTTCACTCCCGATCATTATCTAACTCACAAAGTTCATCCGTCAAACTTTCCATAGTTGAAAGGATATGCTAACCCGAAATAGAGCTACAGACGAGTGGAGACACTGATTGGTCGACCGCCGGCCGCCATAGCGCATATATATGGTCAGTTTGGGTGGAAAAATTGAAGTTGGTTTCATCTCGCCAAAGAGAGTTAGATATCATCTGACCAACAAGAAGTAGATTTCGTCTCATTAACAATAATTTGTGATCGCCAAAAGTGCTACTGTGTCGTAAGGTGTTTTCCTGAATGAACTGACATGGGATATGAACTATTTGTATTCATTAGCACTCTGGATTCAGATGACATTTATTTAACTATTAAGTTTAATAACTTGTCTCGTGCGAACCTAAATGTTTAGTATTTTAATATTAATTTAATGCAAATGTATACATACCCAATAATATTAAACAGAAAAAATAAATATATTCAATAAAAATCAGTAAATACGTCAACACTGAAATGAAAATCAGTCTGGAATAGGGAAAAATCGGGGAATTACACCGTGAAATGGCAAATTGTGCAGCAGCATTATTGTGAATTGGCATAAACCGAGGGCTACCCGTATAGGTTATTAATGAAAACAACCATACCGTGAACAATTTCTGTAGTGGAATAATATCGTTTAGTGTATATTTTGTCAGCTTCAGCAGATTCCACAGATAAGAATATTTTAAACTGATTTATTTGTGTGTGTGTGTAAAAAAATAATAGACTTAATGGTTAAAGTTAATGAACTAAGAAGCAAATTATTACCTATTGCTTGATGATTTCTTTTGAGAAAGGGAAAGCCATTTACTTTTCAGCTCTTTTAGTTTATTTAAAGCAATCTGAGCTTCTGGATTATTAAACTTTAAATGAACATTCAAACATATGGTTGAACATAATTCAAAAACTGAAGAGATTTCTTTTTCATCTTCAATATTACCTAAAATAAGTTATTTAAAATTAATATATATAGCTTTACAAATCCATATATTTATAGTTTTAGTTAATTTAAATATCTAAAAAGTTTCATTTGTTACATTGAGAAATTGTATAAATAGAACTGGTTTAGTCTATTTAACATAAATTTTTAAACTTCATATCATGTATATTCTAATATATAATAATGGGTAATAAATTTTCAAATGCTAATCATTTAATAAATTACATTTAATACTTATTAAAGATAATCTAGCTGAAAAAATTATTTATCTGTGCTTCTTATAACTGAAAGTTACACAATATTTTGCAATATAAAAATTTCATCAAATTAGCTCAAAAGTTATTGACAATAGAAATATATTTGTAAAAACTAAATTATGACTTTATATATTAATAATGCACATCCTTTACACACTGGTCACAAAAAGTTAGAGATAATGCATGAAATGATTGATGTATATACTGTATCTGATTCAAGTAACAAGAATTAAAAAATCAGTGAGGCTACATAATACAAAGGACAAAAAGTGTATTTACAAAAATAATTATAAATTTCACAAGTGTATACAGATGTATGACAATTAAAACTCCTGCCTAGACAATAACTGACTTTTGCTGGTAAGAACAGACAGACTATACATAGTGCAATTCATTTTGTGTTTCTGATCCTTTCCACACATCTTTGATGAATCAGACTAGAGAGCAAAATTAAATTTGTCTGTGAAAAGTACTCAGTGTCATTCTGTATTCTATGACATGCACTGTTGGGCCTAAGCATATCTTTGAAAACAATGAGTTATTGCCAATGCTATCCATCTCAGTAGCGTCCTTGCCCTCAATATATACTCATGAAGATAGTTTTGTAACATTTGAGTACATATTGTGACCCCAAAAGTATCTCAAGGAGATTGATTCCCAGAGTTGGGTGTTGATAGTAGGCCTTCTCCAAGCACTTACAAGAGGGCCTGATATTTGGATCTCTGAATCAGTAGGTCTAAAATTTACAAAGGTTTGAACCTACATTGTGTAAGTCTAGTGCCTAGCACCTAATCCACTTGACTGACACCATTACAAGGACAAGTGAAACTTCCAAAAACTTAAAAGCTAAACACTCAATTCTCAGAGTCCTGTTTTTCTGAAATAGTTGAGAAGTGGGTTCTATTATTTGGACAAGGAGCAGTTTATGTTTAGATCTACATGCTCATTAAGTTTTGTTTGAATCAGAGACCTGAACATCTGGCTTCCTTGTCAATGTCATGTAATGATTTGTCTCATGGCTGTTATCTTCTGGAAATCTGCAACATTTCCATGTGGTAAAATTTGTGTGTGTAGCAGACTTACACCCTTTTTAAAACTCTTAAAACAACAACTACGTCAATCTGCCATAAACCTGCCTGTCACACGCAAACAGTTCTGTTTCTGCTGTCAATGCTTAATCATCATCATCTGGTTATCATTATAGATTAATCTCACAGTGAAGATAATACATTCAGCAATCTCCTAAACCAAGTGGGGCATGACCAATTTTCCCACTTCTGTCAGAATACTTTTTTACAAGAGTTTGCATGTCAAGTGGTATGATGTAACAATGTTAATTTACATATGAGGTACTTATGATACCCATGCTTATAACTGATATCCAGTAATTGTATATCATCATGCATATATATATATATATATGTATGTATATACAGTAGAGCATCGATTATCCGAAAGTCAATCATCCGAAAGAATTCCAGTCGGCAAATTTAAATTTTCGCCAGTGCTGTGGCACTGCAATCTTTGGCTATGTCTTGGGCTACTCAAATATTTTACGTTTTTGATACTAAATTAACTTCTGAAGTATAATTTTTTATTGTTTTTATATTTTTCAATATATTTATTTTGTTTGTACAAAATAAAAAAATAATTTTTAACGATACAATAGTCTTC